GACTGTGCTGCGTCAGGCTATCGCTGAGCGCATCAAGCCCATTCTGTTCATGAACAAGATGGACCGCGCTCTGCTGGAGCTGCAACTGGATGCTGAGGAGCTGTACCAGACCTTCCAGCGTATCGTGGAGAACGTGAACGTCATCATTGCCACCTACAATGACGATGGCGGCCCAATGGGTGAGGTGCGTGTGGACCCCAGCAAGGGTTCAGTTGGTTTCGGTTCCGGCCTCCACGGCTGGGCTTTTACCCTCAAGCAGTTCTCCGAGATGTACTCTGAGAAGTTCAAGATTGACGTTGTCAAGCTAATGAACCGGTAAGCTAAACTAATACTTGTATATATCTATATCAATCTATACGCTTTTAGCACAAAACGTGTGACGCTGAGCGTGCGACTTCTTTTTGGACAGTCACAAACCTGCAAGGGGCGTGGCTGTTCAGCTAGAACCGCGCGTGCTGATAGCGCCACAAGTGCAATCGAAAATAAAAGCAGATCAAATTAAGTAGACGCTGCTGAAACGCTACACCGGAACCTCTTTCCTAATGTTCTAACGGTGCATTTGCTAAGGCAGCGATTCGACAAATTAACAATATATCTATATATATAGGTACGGTCATGAAAATAGTGCGACTAATAAACTAAATATAAATGCATGAATTAATAGCAAACTATTTTAAAATTATTATTTCTATAACTGCGTCTATATATATTTAAATAAGTATTATATATTTTAATATTTATAGGCTCCATCATTTCAACTTTAGTTTTTTATAAGCCACTTAAAAGAAAACACCCAATATTTTACATTAGAGTTGGTTGCATAAAATCTTTGATATAGTTGTATATGTGATGTATGTTCTGATTTTCTTCGTAATGCCCTCGTTTTCTGTTTCACGGAAAAATGATCTATTCTTACAAAAAATATGCTCTAGCTCGCTCGCCTAGCAACACTAGTATGACGTCATTTTTTTTTAGCTTTACCACTAAAAAAGTTTCGCAGCAATACAACGAAATTAGCGAGAGTGAAATTTGATTACAATAGACTAAGACGATCGTTGTTAAGCTGTAGAGCCGACAAATAGAATTATCTGAAGAATATAATAATAATCATATGGGATATAATATGCAAATACATTGAGAAGAAAATAAAATAAAATAAAAATTAATTAAAAGCATTGATAGAAATGAATTGGTCAATTTAAATATTAAATATAGACAAACTAAATAAATTACATATGAATTATTTCAACAATGAGTTGAATAATTCCTTTTAATGCATAAACAACATACAAAATACCATCAATCAAAATATAAAAACTAAATTAATCAGACTCTCCTGGAAAATATTGAAGAAGTATCCGAATTATATATCTCTTCGTGAAAGAATTAGATTAGATATTGATAATTAATAAAATTATAAAAACTAAGGAAATCAGTCTCACCTGGAAAAAGTGATTCAGAAGTGTACGAAATAAACATTTATTCCTGAAAGTAGATTAGATTAGATATAAATAATTAATAAATATTATTCATATCAATTACTGTCTAAACAAACTGTCTAAAAATCATTAGTTAAAATCAATTTCCCTATAAAACACATTTATTCATTATAAAAATAATCAAAACTCAATTTCAACTTATGTTAATTTCTTTTTGTAGCCTGTGGGGTGAGAACTTCTTCAATGCCAAGACCAAGAAATGGCAGAAGCAAAAGGAGGCGGACAACAAGCGCTCCTTCTGCATGTACATTCTGGATCCCATCTACAAGGTGTTCGATGCCATCATGAACTACAAAAAGGAGGAGATCGGCACGCTGCTGGAGAAGATCGGCGTTACGCTCAAGCACGAGGATAAGGACAAGGATGGCAAGGCACTGTTGAAGACCGTGATGCGCACCTGGCTGCCAGCCGGTGAGGCACTGCTTCAGATGATTGCCATCCATTTGCCATCGCCCGTGGTTGCCCAGAAGTACCGTATGGAGATGCTGTACGAGGGTCCTCATGATGACGAGGCTGCCATCGCTGTCAAGAACTGCGATCCCGATGGTCCACTGATGATGTACATCTCCAAGATGGTACCGACCTCTGATAAGGGACGTTTCTATGCCTTCGGTCGTGTGTTCTCCGGCAAGGTGGCCACCGGCCAGAAGTGCCGCATCATGGGCCCCAACTACACGCCCGGCAAGAAGGAGGATCTGTACGAGAAGGCCATTCAGCGCACCATCCTGATGATGGGTCGCTATGTGGAGGCTATTGAGGATGTCCCATCCGGCAACATTTGCGGTCTGGTCGGTGTCGATCAGTTCCTGGTTAAGACCGGTACCATCACTACCTTCAAGGATGCCCACAACATGAAGGTAATACAGACTCGAATCTTCTAATGATTAGCTTATTAATATTCAATTCGTTGTTTCTCAATTCTCCAGGTGATGAAGTTCTCCGTGTCGCCTGTGGTGCGTGTTGCCGTCGAGCCCAAGAACCCTGCTGATTTGCCCAAGTTGGTGGAGGGTCTGAAGCGTCTGGCCAAGTCTGATCCTATGGTGCAGTGCATCATTGAGGAGTCTGGTGAGCACATCATTGCCGGCGCCGGTGAATTGCATTTGGAAATTTGCCTTAAGGATTTGGAAGAAGATCACGCTTGCATCCCATTGAAGAAGTCCGATCCTGTGGTCTCTTATCGCGAGACTGTCTCCGAGGAATCCAACCAGATGTGCTTGTCCAAGTCGCCCAACAAGCACAACCGTCTGCTGATGAAGGCTCTGCCCATGCCCGACGGTCTGCCCGAGGATATTGATAACGGTGAAGTTAGCGCCAAGGATGATTTCAAGGTTCGCGCCCGTTATCTGGCCGAGAAGTACGACTACGATGTGACCGAAGCCCGTAAGATCTGGTGCTTTGGCCCTGATGGTACCGGCCCCAACTTCATTCTGGACTGCACCAAGTCCGTGCAATACCTAAATGAAATCAAGGATTCCGTTGTTGCTGGCTTCCAGTGGGCCTCCAAGGAGGGTATCTTGGCCGATGAGAATCTGCGCGGTGTTCGTTTCAACATCTATGACGTCACCCTGCATGCTGACGCCATCCATCGCGGTGGTGGCCAAATCATTCCCACTACCCGTCGTTGCCTGTACGCCGCTGCAATCACCGCCAGTCCTCGTCTGATGGAGCCCGTCTATCTGTGCGAGATCCAGTGTCCCGAGGTGGCCGTCGGCGGCATCTACGGTGTGTTGAACAGGCGTCGTGGCCATGTGTTCGAGGAGAACCAGGTCGTTGGCACACCCATGTTCGTTGTCAAGGCTTATCTGCCCGTCAACGAGTCGTTCGGCTTCACGGCCGATCTGCGCTCCAACACTGGCGGCCAGGCCTTCCCACAGTGCGTGTTCGACCATTGGCAAGTGCTGCCCGGTGATCCGTGCGAGCCATCCAGCAAGCCCTACCAGATTGTCCAGGATACCCGTAAGCGCAAGGGTCTCAAGGAGGGTCTGCCCGATCTGTCGCAGTATTTGGACAAATTGTAAGCGGCGACTCCAACAACAACCACATGGGGGACGATGGGCTGCAGCTGCCTAACTATGAGACAGGTGGATCGAACAAAGATGCAGAGACAACAGCAAATAACATCAACAGCTGTGGCCGCTGGCAGCGTTTAAAAAACAAACACACACAACAACAACATTTAAAGAAATTTTGATGATTATTAATTGTATAACAGTAAACAACAACAAAATAAATCACGTAAATGATTATACTTAAGTTTATATAAAACAAGAAAACAAATACATACATAGAGAGCGCACTTCAAATGTGCTCGAAACAAAAATAGAAAACGACGAAAAGAAGGCAAAAGGGGGAGCAAGTTTTAAGTGGAAGCAAAGTATACAATTAACAAGCTTGCTGTTAACGAAGATCAGACGAGGAGTTGCTGTTAAAGCAACTGAAATTTACATGTTAACATAGCTGGAATTTTTTCAGACGCTTCCAACTGGTTGGTTCCAGCATGTTTGCTGTTAACGAAGATCAGATCATAAGCGACGCTGTTAAAGCGAGCGAAATTTGAATGTTAGTTAACATTGCCATTGACAGAAGCGAAAAGCAGTTGAAGTTGGGGACGTGGTGAATCAGCCACCCTACCATACTGATTTGAGCAGCACTATTTTGTTAATAACCGTAACAGCTGTAGTTGCCGCATTGACGTGCAACGCAGGGGTTGCATTTTGGCTTTATTGTTTTTGTTGTGCGTATAACACGCCGCGTGGCCAAGTGCAAAATCACAAAGCAAAGCACACAAAGCCAATCAATGTTAATGATTACAACAAATGAGTGACATGCGGCGTTTGGCAAACAAAAACAACAGCAGTAGCGCGCTGTGGGGTGGCAGCGAGCGTGTGAGTGGGCAACCTAAAGAGAGAGAGAGCACGCAATTGCAACCCAAACACAAACTCCCACACCAATGCGCGCGCGTTCTCTCTCTCTTTATCTCCCATTGCACTCTCTGCTTTTGTATGGCTGCCGGAGTCTAGATAAATCTAATTTTTTACCCTCGCTAATAAGAAATGTACTAATGTAATGAAGAAAATGCAACAACATATTAAATTACAATTACAACAACCAAAGCTGTGTTAACAGAGAGAGATAGCATGGTTTGGTGAAGAGAGTAAATATTGGCAGATCATTGGATCATGCACACACACGTCGAATCCAATGCAACGCTAGCTTATAAGAGCTTGCTCTTTGTTTGCATTTTGTTTGTGTGTGTGTGTGTATGTGTGTATGGAGCTTGAGGAATCAGTGACAACAACAACAAGTACCAATAGTAAACGAATAACATCCACCAGATACAGTAACAGCATAGAGTAGCCAATTGGCTTCTCTCTCTGTGTGCGGCTCAGTCGTGTTTCGGTGTTCGAGGCAAGCAGACGTGGTTGGGCAGTCGCTTCGCGCATCATATCGTATTGCAATATTTTTGTAAATTTTAATAGGTATATGAGCGTGCGTGTGTGTGTGTGTGTATGTTTCCATTCGTGCCTATGTGTACGTACGAGCGGTCTGCGGTCTGTGCTGTGCCAGAAATTTAAATTCGAAATTAATCGAATTAAATATTGCAAAAATAGTCAACAATTTGCTGAATTCGTTTGTCAAACGAGCGGAACCAACAACAATAACACCAAAATTAACTTATGCTGTCTGTGTGCGTGTGTATGTGCCTATATATATGTTTGTGTGTAGGTGGAATTGTAAGTAATTCATAAGCAAATTGCAAAATACGAATAGAATTCTCTTGTTCTCGGAAGTCGCCGTCTGTTTTTGTCATCGTCTTAAAAGCCGCTGACGCCGTCGTTTCTGCCACCGTTGACGTCGCTGCCGCCGCTACGTCTGTCATTACTAACATCAGCCCCGCACTTAGGCTCGTCAGCTATCTCGCTCTGGCACACACGCATACGCGCTCAGCATATTTGCTATATTTAGCAACATTTCCAATTGGACGATTTCTGATTTGACCTTTTGGCAGTAAAAGCTTTTAACTGTAATTATTATGCGTACAAAAAAACAAACCAAATGATGAAGCTAAGTGAGTGCGTGTGTGTATGAGTTGGAGTGTGCGTCTGCATATGAAAAAATCGATGCCAGACTCTCTGCGACAACGACAACGTCGACGCCAGGCAACTTCATTCAGTAAAGCAAAAGGCAAGAGGCAAAGGCAGCGACGCCAGCGTCGCCGCAGTATATTTTACAGTTAGACAAAGTTGGAGCTTTGCGCTGTCTGTCTATGTGTGCGTGAGTGAGTGTGTGGGTGGCTGGCTGCAGCTGAAGTTTGAAATTCGAATTGGAACTCTGGCTTCATGGACAGCTACCGATAAGAGCGGAAATGAAATTTGAAACTTAAAAATTGCAAACTTTTCTATTATTTTTAACCATTTTGTTGCTGTTGTTGGATTTTTGTACTTTGTTGCTGCATCCGTTGGAAATGCGTTTTTGGGGCAGCCAACGCAAAAGTTTTTTTTTCTATTTTTGCGCAAAGACAAAAGCAACGTGCGTACGTCTGTATGTGTGTGTGTGAGTTGTTTATGTATAGCGGAATATAAATTTTTTTTTATATGTGTGCGTTGCAGTGGGCGAGCAGGCAGCCAGGCTAATCTGTCGCTATGTCTGCGTGTGTGTGTGTGTGTGTGCGAGCGAGTATGAGTGCGCCTGAGCTCCACATATATATATATATATGTACATATATATAACTCCTCTCTACAAAGTGTATAGAAAATATGAATGAAGATAGGAAACGCACGGCAAAGGAGTTAAGAATAAATTGTGGGCAATGAGTGAAGGGATCAGGGGAAGGGGCTGAACTCTTTGCAGGAAACTAGGAACGAAAATAGTTTTTACACAAACACACACAGACTCCGTTTTCCAACCTTTTTCACACCTCCTTTGGCTTCCATGTGGGGGCAAAGACACTACGTGAAAAATCAATGCAAAAAATTTGTTGTTTAGCTTAATCGGAATAAAATTTTAATTGGCTTTTGGCAACGTCTGTCGAAAGTTGGGAAAGTTTGATAAGAAATTGAATTTGAAATTGCAACTCTGAATACACTGGGAATTAATTTGTGGAAATTTTTCGAAAGTGCTTTGTAGCTGGTTTTTCAATGAAACTAGAAAAATTTGCTTTATTCCACAGTGAAAGCTCTCTTGAGTGGATGTCAATTAGCCCTTTTGCGTTGCAGATCTCTGATTTAAGGAGTTCGTAATGCAATTTGAACATATCGAAATTAAATCACTATGTGAGCAAATATCTATTTATATATTACAAAATATACATTCAATTTCATTATTAATCAATAAGATTATCTATAAGAATTATATAAAAGTAGAAACTTCTCTAATCACCAGTTTATCCTTTGCAAAAATTTATAATCAAATACAATTATAATTACAATTTATAATATAAATATAAACGAATTTTTAACGTAAAAAAATATTCACATAATAAATAATTGTCTTCGAGTTTTATTTATTTATTTTTTTTTTTCTTGAATAACAATAAATTGCTAGATTTCCAATCTTGAAATAAATGTGTTAATTACCCAGGTAGCTAAGTTTTTCTTATAGCAAAGCTTTCTTAAAAGAATAACTGTTATATTATTATTACTTATTTAAAAAAAACACACACACCTAAAATATTTTAAAATTTTAAATAAAGGCAAAATAAAATCAACACAATAATTCATAATAATTTAATATAGAATGAATATTTCAAATTGAAACAAAATGATTTAGTGTTGTTTTTACTGCTTTTCACTCTAAGTGGTTTTCACTGTACATATTAGAAATGTTTCAACTGTTCGCACACAATTGACATTGATTAAAATGCCTTTTATGGCTTAGAACTCAAGACCCGACCACACACGCAATTATCCTATTAAATAACCTGATTTATTCAGGCGCATCAAACCAATATCCGCTCTAAACAAAATCTAATTGCATGTTACGCAAATCGACGAGAGAGATTCGATATTAAATATTTATTGAACTTTCGCAGAGCTGAGCAAACACGAACAACTTAAGCCGCTTACGGCGAACTACAGCAAGATTTACAACATTTTGATTATTAAAGTAACAGAAAAATATATACGAAAAAAAAAAAGTAATATTCCCACCCGCTTTAATCATGCCATCTCTCTTTCTCTCTCTCTCTCCTTCTTTCTCTCCCTCAGCATTTGAATGACGAATTTAATGAGCTGAAAAAAACGCCAATCACTTTCACACATTGCATAGATGAAAATTGAAACAGCCGACAACAAAGACGAGCAGCGGCTGTCGACGCCGACGTCGACTGAGGCAGCGACAGAAACAGAGGCAGCGACTGTGGGCGCATTGATTACATTTTCATAATCAACGAAATACAAGAAAAGCAACAACAACAAAAAACTAACAAAAAAGTAAAAAAAATACGAAAAAAGTTGCAGTTGGTTTCAATGAAAATCGCATAATGGAGACAACACCTGAATCGTGTGGCACAGCACGCGATTCTGTGGAGGCGTTGGAACTGGAGTCGGATACGGCGGAGACAGAGGTAGAGGCAGAGACAGTGGCAGTGGCAGCGGCAGCAGAGGCAACTGAGGCAGCGACAGCGACTGCGATTGCAGCTAACAACATGTCCGAGTTAGAGCCCGCAGCTCTGGATGCTTTGGATGGGGACAACGACCAACAAAAGCAAAAGTATGTCGCAAGCTCTAAATGAAATTAAAATAAAATTGTGAACAAGATAGAGAGAGAGAGGCAGACAGAGAGAGAGCCAGAGCGACAAAGTTGATGACTCTTTGCAACAGTCAAGCCGACACAACGTAGCGTAGCCTAATTACATTTTCATTTCGATTTCAGCAACGATTCACTGCAGCCGCACTCAATGGAGCCCATCTCCATGGACGATATACCGGAGCCCATCAAAGTGCTGGATGATATCATATCGGAGTTCGAGGAGGCAACCACCAAGCCGGCGGCACTGCATTGCAACAGCGGCGAGAATCAATCGGAAGACGATGGCTATATGAGTCTAAGTCGCAAAAAGTGAGTTAGACCTTATAGATAATAAAAATATAGACAAAAACAATTACATAATAATAAATCGGTTTCTATATCAGTTAAGTCTTATATCATTTACTTTAGCTTTGTTGTTCGAACTGCAATTTCGAACTGCATATACAGTTCATTTCATCAAATTATGAGGCCAACAGATATAATTAGCAAATAATTATAATACAATTAAAATTAGTAAATTTAGAGTTTCTATCTAGAAAGCTGCAGAAGCAATGGGGTTTTCTGCTTTACCATATACCCCAAGGGCATAGATATCTCTACTACATATATACTATATAATTTTGGTCTTAGATTGAATACATGAGTATATATTTGAACTTGTTATTGTATATAATACATAAATATGTATACATGTATTTAATATAATATATTATATTAGCGTGCTTATCCATAAAAATAATCCTAATACTTCATAAAATGATATATATTCATATATACTGTGATATTTCATGTACATAGATTATAATTAAATTACAATTCTATTAATTATATGTATGCATTAGCATTCATGATCTACCCACTCTATTCAACCTATCCACCTAATAAATTGAAATATTGACTGCAAAAAGTGTTCCTAAAGTTCCTGAAACAAAATGTTTTATTTTTATTTTTATAGTATGTCTAAAAAGGACTCGGAGGATGTGCCACAAACACCCAGCACGGACACCGTGCCCGAGGGCAGCTTCAACGAGGTTGACGGCACTGCCGAGAATTTAACCAAATTATCTGAGGCGGAGCACAGCAGCCAGGAAGCGACAACGCCGCTCATACAGACAACGCTGGTGAGCAGGGAGACAGAGACATACATACATACATATATATTTACGTGCTGATAAATCAATTAATGCACTCTACCTCTCTCTCTCTCTCTCTCTCGCTCTATTTACCTTTTAGCCCAAGGCACGTAGCGCTAATTCGACGCCAGCCATCAGCTCCAACTACTCGAGTCTGCCCTGTTGCGGCGCACGTGCCTCCAATGTGGGGGCCACCTCCACATGCAGCTCGTCGAACGGGCTGGAGGCAGCCGCCACACGCACCGGCAGCTGCAATGGGGAACGCAATGCGCTGGGCATCGATATCAGTGCCGTGCACAATGCGGTGCTGCGCGGCAATCTGGCCAAGTTGCCGGAGCCGATGCTGAACGAGCATCCGGTGACCATCTATCCGGGTCCGTCGGCCAAGGCTAGTGGCGAGGTTGGGGGGCGTGGCAAGCGTTTGGTAGAGAAACACAAAGCTGTCTGTCACATGCTCAATCCACATTCCATTAGCTCCAGCTCGTCGTCGGGCTCGTCGGGCTCCCAGCATACGTCCAGCGGTGAAGCCTCGCCAGCGGCATCCAACATGAATGTGGCCGCAGCCAAGCAGCCGTCGCAGCAGCAGCAACAGCAGCCGCAGCTGCAGCAGCAATTGGATGACTATTCCGAGGACTCGCTGGAGGAGTCGACCATCTCGACAGAGCTGACGCCCGTCAAGCAGAATGGCGTCGCCTGGGAGATACACTTCAAGAGCAATAAGAAGAAGTCGAGCAGCGCAAGGAAATCCAGCTCAACAGCTGCCAAAAAGGTGAGTGAACTGCAGTTGCATAACATCCATTCAGATCAGTCCATTGATCTCCAATCTCCTAATCTTCTAGCAACAGCATAAGGACAACACTCTGACCGATTTCAACAATAGTTTCGCCTGCAACGAACAGAGCATGCTGGGCAAGGGCACCTTTGTCATACGTCGCTCCACGGCCAAGAAGCCGCCGCGTGCCGCCGACATCTTTAGCATACCGAAGCCGCCGCGCACCTCGCACGGCGCCGGCGCCATTAGCAACGACTTCTATACCAGCGACAGCGAACCGAGCGAATCGACGTCGTTGCCACCGCCGCCGCCGCCGGCGCCCACCGAAGCCAATTTCGTCTACAAGGAGTGCGAGGCGGCAGCGTCGCAAACGCGTCGTGGCCTGGAAATGGCGGCGGCACACAGAGCTGCGCTCTCCCTGGACTTTGCCGAGGCCACCGAGCATCTGATCATCAATAAGCCGCTCAAGAGCAAGACGGCCATGCTGACGGAGAAGCGGCTCAGCGCCGAGTCCATGCCGGACAACACCTCCAGCAGCGAGGAGTTCGACGAGGCGCGTCTCAATGGCAACGGCTACGATCTGTTTGGCTACAATGGCAACGGTAAGGGTATTCACTAGTCGAGCACCTCCAATTAGAAATCTATTACTTGTTAACTGTGTTAAGTCTGTTAGTATATCCTAAACCCCTGAAATGGCAAATCCGGGTTATATTGGTTGCGTTGAAATGTATGTAATGGGAGAAGGTGGCATGGCTCCATGAAGTATATGTATTCTTGATCAGGGCGACGAGTTGACTCGATCTAAATCGGTTCGTCTGTCTGTCTGCCCATCAATCCGTCAGTCTGTCCATACGCGTCGATCTCTGATCTTATAAGAGCTAAGGACTTGCCTTTGTTGTAGATCCCTGCATAGCGACTATGTTAAGAGTTTGTTTAAAAAAATCTATACATATTTCGTTATTAATGTTATGGACTGAAAACCTAATCGAGCCTTTAAATTAGCTCTCTCACATCCTAGGAACCGGATCTATTTTAACGTTTGTTTTATGCAATTAAAATTTGTTGTTAACCGAATTCCGGTCCCAAATCAAATGAATAAACTATATATATAAATAAATATGTGCATATGTATATATATGTATATGTATATAAATATTTCCCGTAAGAGTAAGGGAATTTCAGTATACTATTTCGGTTTGGGTAATAAGTATAAAGATTTGGTAGAGTTTCTATGTAGGTCTACTATGTATATTCTGAAAAGTCCATTCACAAGAAAAGTTATTCAAAGTTATTCAAATGAGCTACCAGAGAATAATTGGAATATCAGCTCTTCAATTAGGGTATCTCCTAGTCGAGCAGTCTCAACATATTGGCTTTAATCTAATCGAATCTCCCTCTCTACAGAAGCGCGTGTCTCGACCGCAACCACGCCTCACACAGATCTAGCGCCCACCCTGGAGGAGGATGAGGAGTCTGACTTTAGCTACGGCTGTGCCCCACTCAAGCAGATCGAGCATAACATAAGCGCGCTGCTCCGTGGCGATATGCCGCTGCCTGGCCAGCTTCAGTTACAGGCGAATGGCTGCACTGCAGCGCCAGTCGGCTCCGCTGGTACAGCTGCCACTGCTGCTGCTGCTGCTGCCGCCGCTGCCGCTGCGGAGCTGCATGCCAAACGTGTGCTCGAGTTCCGTCCGGGCGTGCACAAGTCGGAGAGCGCAAAGGAGATGCTGTTATCGCAGAGCATCGGCTTTGGTCCGTTGCCACCGTCGCCGCCCAGCTCCAATCCGGACATTTTCGACTATGATGCACCGTTGCCCCCCTCGCCTGTGGAGCCACGCAAGCCACTCGAACTGCCGGCCACGGCCGGTAGTGCCAATCGCGGCACTACCGTTGTCGAGGTACATGCCACCGCCTCGGGCGCTGCGGTCCACAGCAGCAACAGCCACACGCGTCGCAGTCGCGACAATGTGGCCGCAGTGCGTCATTTCACTGATGAGCTGCCAGCGCCGCCAGCACCGGCCCATCAAACGAACAGCTTTGCCGACGGCTTGCCCGGTCCGCCGATGGCACCCGCTGTGCCGCCCCATCGTGCCGGACACTCGTTAAACACAATGAAATCGTGGAGCATCGATTCACAGTATCGCAAGCGTTCGCCCAAATTGTTTGGCTATAGCAGCGGCAGCGGCATTACTACGCCCACTGGGCTGGGCGGCATGCCGCCGTTGCCCCAGCCCCCGATGGGCACCATCGGCTCCTGTGATGGCGGCTCAGTGGCCGGCACGGGCTCCTATCAACGGCGCTATATCAACTATGGCACCAAGCGCAGCCTGAAGCAATCGCCACGCGAAGAGCATCGCCTGCAAACCTCATGTAGTCTTCCTGAAACGCCAATCTTTGCCAGAGGGTGAGTAGCATAAATGTGCAGTATATCGGGATTATAACCATATACCCTGAACCCATTATGAATGGGAAATGATTTTGTGAAAATGTAACAAGCGGAAGGAGGCAGGGCGAAACCAATAAGGTATATGTAAAGAGATCAGGGCGACGAGCTGAGTCGATATAGCCAACCCCGTCTGTCCGTCCGCATAGAATTTTTTGTAAACCTCTTATAAATTTTAAATTGTAGGTCGCTGAGCTATACAGTAACCAAGAGCGTTTGAATCTATGGATATTCCTGTTTTAATGTTATCATTTAAGAGCCCAATAAATACATTGCTATAAAATTATATCTCGGATGCCTAAATTTAGTATATATTTGAAGTTCAGCTGCAATTATAACCAATATGAGACTGAGTTTGGATATTTTTTTAATTGGCAAGCGTTCAAGGGAATACATAGACTACATGCTGAGAATTTCATAAAAATCTATTAAGTAACACAGAAGTTATTAAACAAAACGGTTAGCCACTTAGCCAACTAGGGGCAGCAGTGTCAAACGTTTTTGCTCTGAGCTTGAATTCAGTTTAATTTTACTAGATGGTTGGTTTAGATTTTCTAGAATTAATTTGAAACTTGCAGCTCCTTGTTCAAGCAGTGAAATGACGGTGTTGGTAGAGGCAAGTTTTGATTGCTCTAAACCGAAAAATTTGATAAGTTTACCACATTACATTACACATTGCCAGGGGTACAGGGTATCGCTTAGTCGAGCAATCTAGACCAAAACACTCTTGTTTATATATTTGTGTTTTGTTTTTCATCACAGCTGTGACATACCACGTACGCCATATCGTCGCCAAAATGATCCCATACCTGTGAGTGGCTCCCGCACTGCGCCACGTTCCAGCACATCGAACAGCATCAATATGGGCAACTCCATCCTGGGCATAGGCGGTAAGTCGATTAAAGCATAGCCAGCACAGCCAGCATCTGCTCATCCACAATTCCTCTACGCTCAGCTGGCGCCTATGGCACCGCTCAGATCTGTCGACAGCGTTCGATCAATCATGCCTTAGCCTCCAATGAAATGCTGCGCATGACGGGCGCACCAGCGCGCGGCTGGTATCCGAAGCAGCGCAACATGCGGCCCGCCTCCACGGAGAACATCGATCGACTGGCCTCGGTGCGTGTCTGGGACAATCCGGCTGGCATGTCCGGCACGGGCCAATCACGCAAGCCGCTCACCCTGCCGCCCAACCTGACGCCCTCCTTCCTGAACAAGTCGCCGCGCGAAGCGCTGCGTCGTGTCACCAGCTTGCTAATCACCAAGAAGAGTAAGTGTGGACCTACTTGCTGATGGCATTGACTTACTCTCCCTCTCTCTTTGTGTTTATTTTGCTAGAGCATAATAAGGAGCGCAAGCACAAGGCGTACAGTGATCTGCCCATGGATGAAAGCAATAGCAAGCATGCCTATGAATTTGAAACTGGTAAGGAGAGCTCTGGAGATCTGAGATCTTTTGAATGAGGCCAAGGCAGCTATACTACAAGGAATTTAAACTGCTTTGGTGAAACAGATTTTAGCTTAAGAGTTCACTTATGCTTTATAATAACTATGCAGGTCTTTTAGCAGATCTTTAGCACTCCATATAAGAATATAGAGTAAGGCAATTTTTGTAACGTTTTCCTATAACTACACGAATAAGTTTAGTTATGAGTCTAATATATTGTTAATTGTTAATAAGCTAAAGACTTTGATGGAGCATCGTACACAAGAATTTTTGTCTTATAACTTATTATCCTGATTATTATCCTGTTGCTATTCTACAATTGCAATATACATTTTACTATTTGTAATAAGCTATAATTCATAATATACAGTAATTTCTAATTCTAGTTCTTCCAATGCAGAAAAAACATAACAATTAGAATTGATCTCTAACTTTTTCACTTCATTTTAGTTTTTAATTCGATTACATGCGATAAGCTTTATCTTGGTATGCTGAAAAATCATTCGATAGTTCCTACAGTCAAAGGAAAGTCCTTTCTTACTAAAGCTTTCAAATAATTAGTCTGATCGAAAATCAAAGCTATATTACACCAGTTTAGCATGATCGTAAAATCCATTGAATGATTGCAACTAGTTAACAATACGCTTTTTCACAGATCTTATGAAATTCAGATTATAAATTCAAATTTATATTGAGGCGATATTTAAAACATAAGTAGTCCACGATGCTTTATATAATATTTAACGTTATATAGACGTAGTCTTTACTAATAACTTTCTCTCTCTTTCTCTAGGTTCCACAAAACGCAAAGAAAGCAGCAGTCGCAGCAAGGACACTCCTGCCGCCACTGCTGCTGGTGCTGCTGCCACGCCCAAGGCCAAAAAGAAGGGTCTCTTCAAGACGCTGTGGAAGCGTACGAAAACCGCCTCGCTGGATCAATAGAGCAGCCAAAACAACAATAACAATAAAATATATACCAAACTTGATTACGAACGAAGCCAAAACACTGCCCCTCACAACCTCACCCAACTAACATACATATATGTATATGTTTTTAAAGAACGTTGATAATAACCGCACCTCTATATGAAACTCACCTGCTCAGCCATCAATATATATATCACAATTCTCACACGCGCGAACAGTTCGAAAAATTTTCACACACGCTCATTCGTTTGTAAATTGCACTGAATATGCAAACAAATGATACATATATGTGTATATCCATCGTACATATATATATATGTATACAACTATATCGGTCATATAATAATGCGAAAAAAACTGAATAATTCAAAAATGCACAAAGCCGTGAATCGTAAAGACTGAAAAATAAAAAAGAAATTAATTAAATGAATAAATAAAATGTAAATGAAACGATGAAAAAAAAAAAAACAAACTTTTGGAAATGCCACAACAGACCAGATCAGCTAACAACAAACATATATACATATGTATAGATATGAATATCAGCAATAAAATTGAGTTTTGAGAGAGTAGTCTTGCAAGCAATTCCATGGCCGAAACACACAATAAAAGCACGCAACGATGAGCAAAATAAAATAATAAAAAAAAAAAATTAAAAATTAACAAAAGAAAAAAAACATAGTTATACAGCACTGAATTTACATTGTATTTAAACTCTATATACATAGTTTGGAGTATAACTGAACCGTTTAGGGTTCCACTGGCAGCATAACTTACTTTATATTATGACGTTCGATATATATATATACGCGAAGCTACTCTTTTTATGGGCTTCCTTTCGGATACTGGAGCAAATCTCTTCGACTCCAAGAAAAAACTTTAAAGCAAAAAATATCTAACAATAAAATTAAGTTTATTTTGAAATTTCGAGAGACTAGAACATAGCCGAAACGCCCTCCAAACTTTTCCAAGAATATTTGATAATACAATTTCCAAAATTTTTCTTAAAAAACACCCAAAAACGAAAAACATGAAAAATTAAAATGCAATAAATGCTCAATAGAACTTTACCAGGCAGCATTTTGCTTTTTGTGATTCCAAAAATAAAAAATAAAAATATAATGAATCGCAATGAGACACATAAAACAAATAAACAATTGTAAACGTTTACTAGTCATTAAATATATAAAATGAATGAGTGGGCATAAAAATTATGAAATATGTATTTTGTATTAACACGCTGAGAAGTCAAGTGGCCAAATATAAACTTTTAAAATTAAAAATAAAATTAAAAACCAGTTGCCCGCCCCGCAGTTAACGAAAGAGAGAGACAGAGAGCCAGTTGAAAGTATTATTAACGAATTATTATATATTATGCTATAGCAAGTTGGTATTTATTATAATTAATTATATTATATGTACAATTATTTGTATTAATTAATATTATTGAATATATTTTTTAGAAAAGTAGTGTGAAAATTGAAAAAAAAAATATAATATTAATAATAATAAAAAAAACTAACAAAGAAAACAGAAATAAAAGTACTTAACAAATGTAAACTGACAAGTTGGGAACTTTATATATATATATAATGATCCATCAAAATTCGAAATTCAAGTTGATAATTATAACAAGCTGAAGCACTTAAAAGTCGTTTTGTTTTTTTATAGAGATGACTTTTCGTATAGACCTTTCGACACATCCTGCATTTGAGCAACATTTCTAAAGCACTAACTAAACAAAATCTCAAAAAAAAAAAAAAAAAAAAAAACAAAAAAACTCTACATACAACGTTCATCTCCTACTGCTTGAAGGAAACACACATATAAAGAAAAAATATATAGGAAAAAAAAGAAAACATAATAATATTAATGACAAATTACAATAACAATTCACACACACACACATATATGAATAAAAGAGCTATGAAAAAAGTTAAGCACAGACAGAACAAAGCAAATGATATAATTTTTTAGCAAGAACAAATGAATTTTAAAAATATATATATTATTTATATATATAACAAAATTTAACAATTAATGAAATGAAATAAAAATAGCATTGAAAATTTTGAAAAATATTACAAAACTGTTGTTTCATTGAGAAAGTTCGAGTTGAAAATGGTAAGTGAAAGATATATACATATATATATTTATTTCTATGTAATAAAAAGTATTAAAGTTTTCAGTCAAAATAGATTATTCAATATATTGCTTTTGTTTATTACACATCTTTAGAACACAAGCACGACAACAACTTAAATACAAAAATTAAAATAAAACGATAAATAGAAAACAGAAATACAAAAATTTGTGTGGTACATAAAATGATTTGTTACGGAGAAACACTAATTAAAGTGAAATACATGAACAGTGCATTTTAATCGGGTTTTATGAACATTGATAACATATAAATTGCATGCGGTTCCACTGTGCAACGCCGCATGATTAGCCAAACACATAGTTTTATTTTTGATGAATAAGATGTATATGTATACACACTTAACGCACACACACACACACCCAAGAACAAAGAACAAAGAATTTCCTGGAGTCTCACGTCCGGGATATGTCGGCCAATAAGGAGATGGCGCAGCATGATGCAGCCAATGTGTTATACCAACTGGACGGAATATAGCCAGGTTATCCAGTATATTCATGTTAATTAAACAATGAAATAGTTAGCTCAACTAATTCATTGACCATGAATTATTGAAACGGTTTTTGGCTACAGTCATCGATTTGGATAATTACATTGAATATATTGAAAAGTTTGAGTTTGAGTTCGATATGGTAAATGAAAGCTAAAACTTAATTAAGGAGCAGGCACATACCATTTAGAGCAGTTAATAGTAGTAACAAAAATTTAACGGCTAATTTTTAATGAAAAATCGTAAATACAGTTTTCATATGATTTTCTCATTTTCTTCTGTTTATTACACATTTGCTCGTTTGTGTGTTTGTACCAGATAAATATACATTTATATGAAAGAAAGAAAAGATATTGAAACGAAAAACGAAATAATTATTACAAAACTAAATAAACTAACTAAAAGTATCAGTGATGCGCACAGTTTATACGCCTTCTTCTTTTCGGTTTTTGTATGGTTTGTAGGGATAGTAAAAAAAAAAAAAAAAAAAAAAAACAAAAAAAAAAACGAACAAATATTGTTTGCATTACCTTAAGTATTTCAATTGAATAATTTAGACAGTCCCTCAGACTTTACGAGATATTAGCTGTAATTGTTGCTGCCGTTGCGTAATGCTTGTCATGAATTTTAAAAAGATTTAACAAAATATGCCTCGGTGTAATGCATTACAAGGTATTATAATTATTTATATGTTGTTTGGATTGTTGTGCATTTTGAATTCAATTAGTGAAAGTTTTTATTTGTTTTTATTTTACTTTGCTTTTTTAGTTTGTTTATTTTGTTTCTCTTTCTTTTCCCCTTTTTTTCCGTTGTAGTAATCTCTAGTTAGCCGTCCGAGCCATCCGCAGTCTAAGCCATATAGCTATACTCGTCACCAGAGTTAGCCGTACGCTCAATATATTGTTTGTCAATTAACGATTCAACGCATTTTTTGATCATTGCGATATTGGGCGTAAAACTAACTTTCGATAAAGACAGTACCTGTTGATAGAAGACATATACAATTAGTTTAAATATATACAATTTATCAAATATGGGTAAGATGCGATCACATACCTCTTGTATCAGAGCGTTGTGCTTCAAGACTTTGCGCGCCTTCATAATACGCACAATGGCAGCCTGTAGAAACAGTTTACGATCCTCATCCACCGAGTTGATCGTATGCTCCACCTAAATAATACAATTGAGAGTATTCATTCATGTATTATCTAAAAGATTCTTTGACTTCATTTGTACCGACCTCCTGTGGCGTTTCCTTTTGTAACGCCGAGCTTATCTTAAATTTCGTACGCTTATTGGTATAATCGAAATTCAATTCGATGCGCGTATCACCCGAGAGATTCTCTGAATTGGCAATTAACAATTTGGATTCAATCATCGGCTGCATATGCTTCTGAAACGTTTCATCATTTAATTGCAACGTATTTTGGATCTCTCGACAGCTGAGCGTATCGCAGGTCTCGAAAAGCAATATTATCGCCATTTGATACGTCTGCATTGTCACAATGTAGGACTTTTTGAGGTGACTCAGCTTCAGTTCGCCATGGCACATATGATGCAGCCAGGTCAGTTTGCGACCGCTGAATAAATTATGATAATAGTCCTCAAACTAGAATTGAAAACATAATTGGAAATTATTTAATTGCTTGATTAATGAGACTGAATTCTGGCAATTCACCATTTTGATGGACTTTTCGAATTCCTGGGGCACTGCAAATGGTATAACTTGTGTCGAACCCAAGGGCCAAGCGCCCGCCTGCAGCACTTTAATTGACAGATTTATACCTGAACAATAAATAATCAAATAATTTATGTTATTATTAAAATCTATTTTAGTGCACCAAGAATCAATATTTTGTTCTATATAATCAAAATACGACTCGCATACCCAGATCAATATCGTTGTCCTTTAAATGATTGTTGAACTTATTGTTCAAATCTGTGGAGACTGAAATATCCGTGAACATGCGATGCAGTTTATTGGTGAATTCGTAGCCGCAAGCTTGCTGCAATTTATACATTTGAATGAATAAAGGTATATAAACACATATAAAAGAAATATACCTTTAGGCGATTAATCATGCCCTCCTCGGCATCCATACTCTGGCTTTGCTCGTGTATAAGACGCTTCGCTAGCAATCGACTGTAGAACTTTTGATACACATCCTTGTCCTCAATGTATTTGAATATTGTTATATTATTTGTGAGTTTCTGATCGATTTCCGCTTCGCAGGTTTTCGATTTCTTTAACAGTGTATCACAGTATTTGGCCACATATTCAGCGCTACGGCACGGCTGCCGTTCGCTGGGACGTCGATTGATAACGCTGGCGCAGGCCTTGTCCAGCGCGCTAAGGAACAGCGAATCGTTCTCAAAGACATCGGCAATCAGCTCCTGATACTTGTGATGCACCTTCAGCATATTTTCAACGAAAGCAATGTGTATGTTCTCGCCCTTGAGCGCATACACCGTTTCCAGGCCCTCGTTTTTTATGTGCTCCAGAAAAGTTTGTATCAGCTCCGCTTTTAGATTATCTTGTATGGGCTTGAGCACAATGTACATATTACGTAGATCTTGACGCCTCTCCTCCGATACCATATCTCGGCACTCTGAATATATGTAGCCCAAGCGATCGTTAATGAATTTCTCTTCACATTGCTTGCGCAGCTTTGGCAACGAAGTTTTATGAAGAAACTTTTCCGCTCTCTTAGTCTCACACTCCAGTATCTTGATAACCTCTTGCAAGTACTGTGAAACGGTGCAACGTTGCAGTAGCTTGTTGGCCTCGATCATATAGTAGGCGCCGCTCGCCTCCAGCATCGGTCCCTCGAAGTGCTCCTGATACAGTTTTAAATTTAACGAGTCTGGCTTTTGAGTCTTTTCGTTATCCACGTTGTTCACAACGTCATTGATGACCTTCTCATAGTTCTCCACTTCAACAAAGCTGTGTATAACGCCATTAATGACCTGTACACGATGCGAATCGAGTGTACCGTTGCTGGCCCGATCCGCTGCAATGCCCTCCAATATGTGACGCACCAGATCCTCGGCTAGATACTCGACCATAATCACGCGCCAAATATTCAAGCCAAGCTCACCGATTTCCATTTGCCCGGCCGCACTGGTCTGATTGCTATACATTGTATCCGTGTCCGTGATCTTTTGCTTTTTGATGTGCTGCTGATTTAAGTAACTGCAAAGCAATAAACAATTACCATTTAACATCAAACTCAATTTATTAGTTAGGCCAACCACTTACTTGTATAATTTATGAAGATACTGGATGCCCTGGCTATATTCCGTCCAGGTGGTATAATAGCGCTGCAGTAGATCTGGTCGGCTATTCGTATTATTGGCATTGGCTGCATCATGCTTCGCCATCACCTTGTTGGCCAGCATATCCCGGACGTGAGACTCCAGGAAATTCTTTGTCTCGGTATAGAGTCGATCGGCCATTGGTTCCGGCTGTGCCACGCACAATGTATAAACATCGCTGAAGGTATGTAGAAACGTGTGTATATGTATTTTACACACACAGTTTAAAGTTTTATTCAAAACATGTGCATATACTATGTAAATGTTTGTCAAAAAGAAAATGTTTTCAATTTTGGCAAATCATGCTGCGTATCACAGTGGAACACATGCAACATAAATGTTAGCAACACTCGAGATTTTTTAAAATCCGAATAACATTTTCTGTTTATGTATTTCTATTATTTATTAACTATTTGATGTTAATATTTCATATTTTTATTTTTTAACTTTTTTTTTATTTAAAATGTATTTTTTAGCCTGGTTAACGAAGTTGTTCCACTGTGCGATATACAGGAGCAGATACTCACGAAAAGCATGCATTCCAGACTTTGCGATCAACTGCGCGCAATGTTATCAGTGATTCGACAGTGCGACTCAAAGGATTCCAGATCTCACCAAATTCCACTCTTTTTGGCTTAAGCGACATCTCGGCCATTTCGATGTGTGTATGTGTGTGTGTGTGTGGGTGTATGGGTGGATATGAATTGTTTGCTGAACTGTTTGTTTTTTTAGTTTTTGATTGGTGTTGGCAAGTGGAGTAAAAAAGAAATGGCACAATATTATTGAAAACACAATATATTAAAGTAAAGAAGAAATTGTCACGAGCGTATACAACTTAAAACGCGCATTTTGTTATAAATAAAATACAATTGCGTCGCCCCTCGTACGTTGCTGCTACCAGGCATAATCAGCAGAGCCCCAGGCCAACCAAAAAATTAAAGACGACGTCGACAGCCTCGAGGTGCAACATTGAATGCAGTTGGCCCCCAAAATATCAGCAATTGCTGTACGCTCCAACGGCAACGCGTGGTACACTTACGCGCTTCTTAATTACACTATGTACTAATTATTTATGCGTAGAATTTAGGTTTTTGCACTTTTTTTACAATCCAAAATGAACTTCAATGTTACGGCGACAAGGCTGCCAGTCCATTTCGACAATGATAGTGTTTCTATGCATCCCTGTAACAGCGTAATACGATAACGATAACGATAAAATTACTACGGGACTTCATGTTAACATTATTAATCAATTTTCACACGATGGACTAATAACAGCACTAACCAGAGATAGCAGTATCCACACAACAGTATCGCAAGTGGTTGATCATCAATGGATTTTCGGTTTTAAAAAATATTGATCCATAAATTAATCAAATTACATATATTAAGAAAATTTAAGAAATTTAAATTAAAAATTTATTGCGTCTATGTCCGAAATTTATTTTGAAACGTGTCAGTCCAAATTGCATTGAGAAAATAAAAATCAATTATGCCCCACAAGTTTCGATTCAAGCGGAATTGCTGACTGAAAAGACAGTACACCCGCAAAAGCAATATTTATTGACAAAATAAATAAACTTTTTGATTGTTTAAATAGCTACGTGCCTTTAAGAAAATTAATAATCTCCATGAGTACTTTCAGAAAATGCTGGATTATTTTTAAAATCTTACATTGTCTTGTTAATATATATTGTCTAGTTAATATATGATGGAAATAAAATGGAAAATAGATAATTTTTTTTTTAATTTACTATACAAATTAGCTGCAAATTATCTATTTTGGTTGTTTGGAAGAACTTTAAGGATGCATGTTTTTGTGCCCGCCAAACGGATAACAGAGAGCAAACCCAAAATGTGACGTCACAAGAGACCTGTTAGTTAACATTAAAATATCTGTTTCTTGCATAACCAACTGAGCCTTTTAACAGTGAATCCAGCCAGCTGCTGGTAACATGACCTTTTAGTGGCCGCGTATTTTAAATTCATAAAGTAAATACAAATTGTTGTGTATATTTATGTAGATTTATTAGGCTTTTGATTTTGTCCTATAATTTGCAGATTTATTGTTTTATGTTGTTTTTTTTTTTTTTTTTTTTTCATTGAAACTATATAAAAGAGCATTGTTAGATTTTATGTTAATAGCTTAAAACACAACACTTAAACATTTACTAATGGATTTATTTTTTATTAATTTTTTATGTAATTCTCAAATATTTGATAACAAAAAAAAATCAATTTAGATGGTTTTGGCGACTTTGGTTTGATATTTAAACAATCATCGTCATGCTTTTAACTTACACATTTTTTCGTTGATTGTCATGCTTTAAGCCATTAATAACAAAACGATTTAGGTCAGGCTAACGAAACCAATGGACAAAAATGCTTATTAACTGGATTTGCCATTCGTTTGTCTTCAGAATTTTCTTGTTTTAATATATTGATGTAATTTTCAGTGAGTTTATCTTGCTATGTAAGTTCGTTCGTAGTTTGTTTCTTGACTAATTCGTTGAAGTTCTCTAGTAAACATGCGACGCTTTCTCTATGTAGACATGCTAATGTATATGTAGACTAGATATATGCACATGTATATGTTATTATTTATCTATGTTTCCATAAGAATAGTAATTATTTTGTGTAATATGCATGCCGAATTCTTCAAATTATTTGCCTACTATTTTCTTCCACTAGGTTGGGGCATTATTTAATGCTATATATTCACTAATAGTTTATAATTATTTAGCAAAATTATAGTACATACAATTTGTTTAACTGTTTCGTTTTTGGACTTGCTTGTGGGTTGCATTTTTTGTTGTGTGGTGGGATACGGATTCTCAATTTAATTATCTCGACTTAGTCTACACATATGCATTATTTATGTATTTGCGTTTGTTTGTTTTTGTATTAATATGTATTATTATATAGTTACATTTCAAGCACATTCACATCGAGAAGTACTTTGTTTGGGGTTTTCCTTTTGCGAAAGGTATATATATATATCTATATATATATGTATAATTTAATTTAAGTTCCTAAAGCTAGAGTTTATAATAATAAATTGATGTTCTGGATTCTTAATATTTTTGAACTACACATCGACTAATGTTGTTAAGCAAATAATTTATTATGTTACAGTTTCTTTTCTACTATATAATTTGTAAATGAAATAACAATTTGTTTAAAACAAAACACTCACAATAAATTTGAATACTTAAGTTATAGTTATAAATGTTTAAGGTACACAGTTTACAAACTTTTCAAAAGCGAAGACCAGTTACAACTAAAGAGTATAAATTTTCTTATGCTTCTTTTCATTTGTTTTGTTTGTTTCAAAGTTGTTCACGTAGCAGAGAATATCACACGAATATAGGCAAACCAAATGTAGCAAGTATAACAGTTGTATAACAGTTAACTATATGTTCACGCTTGCACAAGCACACGCACACTCACACACTCTAACACACATACACACACGCACACACATCCATACACATTTTGAATATGTTAATTGTAATACATTCGCAATTCACTCCAACAGGGATTGAGATTCCCCAACGGTTCCGTTGCTTAGACATGATTCTGCCGCGGCTTCCGTTGCTGCATCCTGTGCCTTGAGCTTCAGCAGTGGTGTCTTTATGTCCGCTTCCAGCTCAGTGCTGCACTCCAAACTAACTGACACTGGAGCTGCAGTGGCCGCCGTCTCTTTCTCATGCAGCTCAACGGCTGCCTTTGCCTCCGCAGCGCTGCTCTCAGTTTTACCCTGCAATTAGTCAGAGAATTAGGCTTGAGAGCGAACGTAGAGTGTTCCTTGCTCCACCCACCTGCAAATAGTAGGTCATCAGCTGGCCCTTGCCCTTTACAGCCACCAGGCCACGCTGCTGAAACGTATATCCGAATTGCTGCAATATGTTACAGGTCTCCTCGGTGACCTGCACGGCACCCGCTTTACCGGTGCTCTCCATTCTCGAGGCCACATTCACCGTATTCCCCCAGATATCATAGTGTGGCTTCCGGGCGCCAATCACGCCCGCCGTTATCGGTCCATGATTGATGCCCATTTTGAGTACAAAATGATTGAATGATTGCTCATTGATGCCCTGCAGCGCATGTTTCAGCTCCAGGGCGAATTCCACCAGAACCGCCAAGTGGGACCAGCGTTCGGTAATGGGCGCATCAGTGCGTAAATTGCGCTGCAAATTAATGCCACTGGCTGCCATATAAGTTGATCCAATTGTCTTTATCTTAATGATGTCCTGAAACTGTGGCAGTTCCAATAGCTAAAAGGAAAAACATAATTATATAGTACTACATAGATCTATATATACATTTGGCTTACCGCATCGAAATCGGAAATGACCTCATTCAGAAAACGCAAGCATTCCAGGCCCTGATTGTTAACGGTCTCCTCCGAATAGAAATCTGTAGAGTATGCCCAATGCTTGAGTTCTATTCCAAATATATAAACAGACTGGATATTTTACCTGAAAAATTTGGCATGCTGGCGAAGAGCACGCCCACCTCGGCATAGCTCTGCGAGTAGAGATCGTCGTGGGAGCGCTTTGTGTTCTTCATAAAATGCTCGGCCACATGCACGGGCAGCACATTATAGACCAAAGCCTCGTTGCGCTGACGCATATCGTTGGCGGTTTCCTTCTGCTCGGCCACCTCAGTTTTCCATTTGAATATAACACGATCCTCGTGGTCCATCTGTTTGTAAAATGATGAGAAACAAAATTAATTTAGATTCATTTAAATGTAATAATTATAATTTGAGCAAATTCTTGTATATATGAAATTAAAATGCCAGCAATTACAAAAATAACTAAATAAATTCTATATTATTATGTCGATGAATTGTGTAGTGCGTTTTTGACTTAACTGTTGTCAGCTAATAAATTGTCATACATAAACAAAGCGACACCATTGTCTACCTTCCCTTGCTTAAATATGCCTTGGGAACAGAATACTGAGTAAAAGATGTGAGGTGAAATGTGAATTGGGAACAGAAATATGCCTTGGGAACAGAATACGTAGAAGAATGAACAAGGTACTGTAATAAATGGGACCAGGGAACACTACAGCTATAGCTGAATTATAGGGATTGTATTATAATAATTAAGAAAAGAGGTATGTTATAAATATAATCAAATATCATCAATAAATATAAGAACAAGAGGATACACTAATGGCAAGTACTGTAGAAACAATATTTAAAAAAATGTATTTAAAAATTTAATTTAAAAATTGTTTAAAAATATTTTTCAAATTTTTGAAAATGAGCATGCCATTTTTAGAGCAAGTTTTTTTTTTGTAAAAAATAAAATATAGTTTAAATATAATTAGGAAGGTACAGTTAGTAAGTTAAGTAATACTAGGTTTTATATATTAGGATCAGTGTGAAGTGAGCCTCAAAATGGAATTTTTTTGGTATTTATTTATAGCAAATAAATACCAAAACTTATATACAGTAAACAATATTAATATTATTAATTGTTTTTTTTTTTAAACTATTCCCGACTATTAACTAAACTAAAGAAACACCTCAAAAAAAAAAAAAAAAAAAAAACAAAAAAATACAAATTTTTCGGTAAACAGTAACATAGAGTAGAATAAAATATAATATATTTTTCAAATTCGGGAGCCTAAATTGTCGCTTAAATGTATTTTCAATTTCCCTATATATGATATACTTACATGTCTTGCCAAAAAGCTGAGTGACAATGCCGCCACAAGGAGCAGACCTGAGGCACAATAACGCGTTGATATAAGACTGGAAAAAAAAAAACAACGAATTATTTAATTAATACTCTATAACGCATTTTCTCGGTCACTAACTAAACTTACGGTTGGTGTGCTAGATCATCCTCCAGAATGTACAAATCCTGCATAATGCACACATTGAAATAACAATGCAGGGCTGAGAGTAAATAAAAATAATCAATTAGCTTAACTGTTAAAAAGATTTACTATACAATTACAAACAAAAACAAAACTCACCTGCAATGGACAGGAGCAACAGGATTTTGGTCAAGTGCGTGAGCTGTGCAATTACAGCAATGGCGATAAGTATGAGGACACTGAAGTTGCTCAAATAGGACGGATATAAGACACGCTCGGTGGGCACCGCTTCACGCATCTGTTCCACAAACGATTCAGGCAGCAGGTGCTCGGCGGTGGCCACCTCCTCTAAGCCGCCCGTGGCATTGAATTCACTCTCGCTAACAATGTGCTCGGTGCGCACGAAGGTGACAAAGAAAAACTGCAACAAACACAGGAAACAATGTTAAAAGTGTGTACAGATGGGTGACTTAAAATATACCCTGCACTGAGTAAATATATGGAAGCAGAAAAATCAATTAATCACAATAATACATTTTTAAACAGATGTATTTAAATACTAAATATCGAATAGTTTCCTGAATAAATATGCTAGTCAATCAAGAATATTTTTAAGTGCATATACAATATACAAATATCGTAAAGTTTCCTGTAAAAATATATATTATTGTACAAATATATCTGTTGAACAAGAAATTTTGTAGGCGCATCTCTGACTCTTACATGCGTATTTTTGCTTAATTCACAAAAACTGATATTACTTAGATATTATAATTTAATCAAAGAGTTTAGTTGTAGACTAATAATTTGTAATTTGAACAGTTGTATAGTTTTTATAATTTGAATTTTCGTAAATGATATTTATTCATATATCTGTAGAGTCGGACTTTTTATGAGTTTATCAATCTACAATTTAATGGAGTCTAAGGTTGACTTCATTATGGGGACGAACAGACGGATAATATTGACACAACTTAGATTCGAATGCTTATCAGAAACATAACGACTATTCAATGGTACATACAATACTTGCGTATCACGTTTACCCAACAACAATATTCTTAGCAAACTTTTACAGGGCAAGAAAATCAATAAGGACTTGAGCACGCCCCATGCAGTGAAGTCTAACCGCATACTAACCATGTCGATGACATTGCTGAGGCCAATGGTAAGTGCTATAATTATGGCCGCCAGCTCCCGAACGAAGGTAATGTCATTGAAACGCTTGCTCACATCCACAAAGAACTTGGGCAGCATGCCGCTAAAGCTTTCGGCAATGCTAATCGCCACCAGCATGGCAATGGGCACCAGCGGCGCGGCAATGTTAATGAAATGCAGCGTTGAGCGCGGCAACACCAAATATGAATATAAAACATCGATGCACTGGACCAGCAGGGCGGCCAGCAAGGGCAGCGAGCTGTATGGCTCCCGATAGACGGCATAGGCCTGCTCCAGTTGCGGATTCTTGAAGCGCAAAAAGATGTTCGTGTCCTTGGTGAGATTTCTGTGTGAGTATGAGCAAAATGAGTTAATTAGACTTTGATATTTGATACCAGAGTATCTGGAGGGCAGCTATAATTCATACTCATGCCCGTCGCGTGTGACCAGCTCATCTTTTAAACGTTGCTTGAAATTCTCCAGCTTTATTTGCTCCTCCTCATCCTCGGCGGCTGTGGGATTGTGTCCATTGATGACGACACTTTGTGCTAAGAGCTCCTCATCATCGACTGTGGCATCGTTGTCATCACCAGCACATTCGTTGCTCTCATTGCTGCTGTTGCTGCTGGGATTCGAGTCGGGACTATGATTGGTATTCTCTGACTTCGATTCGTTAATTTTCTTGCCGCAGGGCGAGGCAAACTAAAAATATTTTTTACAAATTTACAGATTAGAGCACGTAAAAACTTTTACTGGACAGGCTAACAATCTGCACTCACCGGTTTAACCACTTTCGTAATGAAATATGTCTTCAGGCCAGCTATGCGCAGCAGCTCCTCCCGCTTCTCGCCAAAGGCCGGCTCCACCTCGAATTCGCCATTGAGAAAGGCCAATGTTTTGTCGGAAATGTGTACACGTCTGCAATGCAAAACAGAAAAACAGAAAAAAATTAATTCGAATTGTAAATGCAAGTGTACTCAACTAGTCGACGAGGGTGTGCCCGGTGCCATAAATTTGCATATCGAAGTGACAAGGACAAATCATTACAGCTCGAAACAGCTCCGCCCAGCCAAGACCAAGATCAGCCGCTATTTTCTAATTCAATTAAATATGCATTGGACTCACCCGGCTTTGCCACTGGACTCCATTTTATTAGCCAGCTCAACGTCCTTGGAGTAAACGTCAAACTGCCATTGACGCTGGCCCAGTATCCCGGCCAGGACAGCACCTGTGTGTATGCCCACACGCATATCAACAGGTGAGTTTGCCTTTTGCTGCACATATCTAGATGAATCAAATGTGTATACATATATATAAAAAAAAAGTACTATAAAAACTATATCCTAGACGACACACAAAGGGACAACAACAGGCGGATAGGACGACGCGTGGCTAAGTGCAATTACATTTAATTGAACAGACGTTGATTTGACAACGCCCGTCGCCTGTCGTTGTTGCTGTCCCCAGAGTCCACTGCTTGACTGAGTGTCCTGGCACTCTGTCTGCTCTTGTCACTACTCAACTCACTTGATGGCCTTAACCATGGAAAGTCCCATGTGAACACAGAGCACGGCATGATCCGGCCGCTCATCGGGCGCTCCACTAATGCAATAATAGCAATCGCCGAGAATTTTAATGCGCAGTTGTTGGTACTTCTGTATGGGGCGGTAAAGGGTGTTGGTTAGGCTCTTTATAACGAAACCAGCTAATCGAAGCGCTAAGCTCCATTTTGGGCTGAATGTCGATTAGGTACGACAGCAATGCTTAAATTTCATTAATTGCGGGTCTTCAACTCAATAAAATTAATAGATAATCAAACTACCAAAAAACAAAGTTAATAAAGAGCCATAAAGCTCGAATAGATAGAGAATGGATAATTAAAATTAAGTATTATAATAAAAGGCACACAATGTAACTATTATAATAAAAGGCAACTATTGTATCTGACGTAAATTATTGATGAAAAAATAAGAATCGTAATAGAAATATAAGAAACAAATCAGACTATCAACTAACTTAAAGCAGTTCAATAGAGTTATCAGAAAAATCGACCAAAGTAGACGAGTTTTATATAAATAACTTATAATAATATACTTATAATATATAGCTTACAAAATACTAGAACTTAATAAATTAATTATAAATTATTTTGGCGAATACTACAAAACATATTGTATAATAAAAACAAGTAAGAAAGCTCTAGTCGAGACTGCTCGACTACGAGATCCCCTGAACCCTTGGAGCAATAGATATTTCAATACTTTTTCGCGACTTTCAGCTTACACAAGAAACACGCACACACACACACACGTACGCAAACACAGGCATACATACACACACACGCATACAGACACACATACACACACACACGCATACATACACAAACGCATACACACACACATACACACACACATACACAAACACATACACACACAAGCAACCACGCATAAACACGCATGGGCTGCAGTGTGCGCTTACTATGAGAACTTAATTGTTTAATAACTTTTTTTATGGACGTACGATCTTCATGAAACTTTTAGATTATGATTATAATATGAATATGCATGTAATTGCCAAAGCACAAGTCTCTAGTATTTGAAATACGCTTTTTACAAAAGTGAGGGTGAGGGGGAGAATTTAGAGGTGGGGGGGTAAATTTTAACAAAAACCGAAATTGTATAAATTGCATATAGGCATACATTAAAAATTTGGAGTCTCTAGCAATAAAGGTGTAGAAGATATAATTTTATAACTGGGTTTCGATAAGGTTTTTTATCGATAAAAAAGATCGAGATGAGTTATCGATTTTTAATGATAAACTTGATATGCGCGCTGTAATTACGGACATTTTAAAAAAATTTGAAGTCTCTAGCTCTTATATCTTCTGAAATCGACGCGTTCATACATACGGCCAGACGGACAGACGGACAGACAGACGGACAGGGCCAAATCAACTCAGCTCGTCACCCTGATCAAGAATATATATACTTTGTGGGGTCTGCCACGCCTCCTTCTCCTTGTTACATACATTTCAACAAAACCATTATACCCTGATTTCCCATTGAAAATGGGTTCAGGGTATAATGAAAAATAATTACATTATAAGAAGCTTAAGAAAATCCAAACAATATGTAAACGAAAAATCCAAGCAAATCAATTAGCTGAATTGTATTCAAACGAAACCTGGTAAGGTACAAGAAATATAATTAGCATTAAAAACGATATACATATATTTATATGTATATGTAGGTACCCCTAAAATATTCCCCTCGAAAGCCAAATTTAGCTTTCAAATCCCAGCACACAAAACAAATGAACCGAAAACTTGCTGCAAAGCCAATAAAAAAAATAAAATAAAAAACAACTCAGGGCAACAAAAAGTTTCCACAAGAAAGACTCAGGAAAAAAATATGAAAAATACTGCAGCAAATTAACTGGGCCTAAATTTAAAGGACCTTTTAGGCAAAGCCCCGAAAAGAAATATCGCATGAGAGCAAAAATCAACTCGACACATTTCACACGGCTGACTGAGCGTAACTTTTGTTACCAGCGCACCGAACTGTCCCGCCTCGCTCCGCCCACTCAGCCACCCATTACAAATATGAAAAAAAAAGTATGTAAAAGAAAATGAAGATGAATGGCGAAGAGCAAACGCAAGAAGCAGAATTCAAATTAAAGTTCGAAATGCGCAATTGAAGGAAATGAAAACCGAGAAATCAAAAATAAAGAGAACAACAAAATTCTCAGATGCTTATCTTAAACATCATCATTAACATTATTTTAAGAGATTATTACGGGACCGGGCAGGTGAACGAACAGCTGGAAAACACACACAAACAAAGAGAGAAAAAAAAAGAAAAAAAAAACAGTGCAAAAGAGAAAACAAAAATAAAGAATAGCTAGCGGAACACAAAAGGAAAGTTGTTTCCACTTTACCTCGGCGAGCCTATCGAAGCGTGCGAAGAGCTCGTTTAGCATTTTTACCAGATCTTGGGCGCTATACGTCGAGGAGATGGCGGTAAAGCCGACAATATCCGCATACAGTATGCTTTTGGTGGGTGTGAAAAAGAATATATATTTTTATATGTATATGTACATAGATTAAAATGTGTGCTACAGAGCTGGTTCTTTCTTTCGTAGTCGTCTGGTAATGAGCCTATAAAACAAACACTGTATAGTTTAGCCGGACATTATTCAGCGGAACTAATAAAGCTAAAAGGAGCTGTTAGGAAAATTCCTAAAAACCTATTTCTATATCATAATAAAAATGCCCCAAGGCGATATTATAGGTGTTAATATTGTGATAGAGATTTTGATGGCTAAGGAAGTGGCTAAGGAAATGGACAATAACCATTGGGTAATATGACGAATTACGAGTAACGAGAAAACAGAGAAATATCCTTTTGAGAATAGCATGAATAGCGATAAATAAGTAAATAGATCCCAGATTTGCATTGAGCATCATTTACGTATAGTAAAATTGAACAACGTCGAAGTTGGGCACTGAACGAATAAAAAAATACTTTTGATTGCCTAGCGACACTAATACAAATGCGGACTAAGGAGTAAATTAGTCAAAACATATAGTGACTCTTACCAATAGTGCGTCAGATGGAACATGAATTAACATATATAGATTTTTAGTTTGTCTTAAACGTAATATAAACCTGCTAAATAGCTGAGCTAAATATAAAAAATAAAGTACATAAAAGTTCTTCCCTCTCTTATTTTTATAAGGGATTTGAAAGTGTATACTTAAACCAATATTATTTTTGATACTAAATATCAAATAGAAAAGTTTCTGCGGACTTTCCGAAAGAGATGTGGGCAAATCGTTTCAGAATACAATTCGAGGTTCACGAGTAAAGATTAGACCCATGTAACCTAACCTAACTGTCAGTTAAGTTATATAAAGGATTGTGTTATCATTCCATCGTCGTTAGGTTGTCTTTAGCTTTAAGAAACTGGGAAAACCAATGTTGTGAAGATAGGAATTTAACCCACTGACTCGTAAGGATAAAGTCTCAATACAAGAAGCTTAACTAACAGGTTTTTCCATTGAAAAATAGATTAAGAGCACGCAGCTACATTATATCAGCCTTTAGTTATATAACTCATAACTCTATGAGTTGACTTCACCAATTTTGTAGCATTTGAAGTGGAAGTTTATACTTACCTCACATTCTCATGTCGACTCATATAGATCTTTTTGAAGGCCTCTGAACTAGATGAGCCCAAGTCTTCGCGCATCTTGATAGCCACATGCTTGGGCAGTACGGATAGCAGCAAACGTTCCTTTAGATTAATACAAACGTAAAAAAATTAAACACAATGCAATGAGTTAATAGTTAAATGATAAACATGTATATACCTGTTCTGCCGACTGCTCCTCTATGACCGTCTTCACCTCCAGACTCTTTTTTGCCTCCAGGAAGGCGCGTTTCTGCTTCGCCTCGCCCATAAAGTAATATAATAGTCCAATTAACGCTGCGGTGGCTATTAAAACGGCATTAGCCGCCGCCTGATCTGAGATTAAGGGATCTGGACGTGAGAAGCCAACGGGTAGACTCAAGCAATTGAAGTACGTGCAAAAGCCAATTACCAGGCCCAGGAAAATCAACGGCAATGGCAATGTCACATATATTAGGAAGTTCAAGAGAATCGCCCAGCCAAGAACATCTCTAAAATATTTAAGGGTTTATCTATTCAATTATTGATACAATTTATACAAGAACCGTATTTACCGCGGCGAGAAGCTGGCCTGCAGCATCACATAGGCGGCGAAATGAAGCATCGAGAGGAACCATAAGGCTCGCGGTACAACTGTCAACAGCGAGTGATGGAAGCGTCTCAGGGCAGGCTGCTCCGACTGGCGTCCAATGTGCAGCAGAGCTGTCAGCGCCAAATAGGCCAACAGCATGCTGCAATTGACCACTGAGGAAGGCGGTTTTAAAGGAGGGTTAATGTAAATTTGAGTAAGAAATAATATGAATTTAAATCTAATGCTAATTTAGGATTTTTCGAATATGCTATATATATAATATAATATGAGATCAACTATCAAAACTAATTAATAATCAAAGTCAACTTTTCAAATGCTTAAAGCTTGTGGAACTAGAATCTTGTATATTACAAAAGATCTCTAAGTAAATAGCTTTATCACATGGCGCGACTTATTCGCACCATAATTAGTTCAAGAACATTTTCATTTGAAATTCGAAATTCGATAAACTAGTAGGTTCCACTCAAATAATAAACTTTACCACCTCTGTAGCTAACTCTCGTAAAAAGATTATTATATTATTAACTAGTAATAATATTTCATATATATATATTTATATATAAAAAATTTGCAAAGTTACTTCGAAACTCTCAAAGATAAGACATCTAGAGCTCTTAATATATAAGATTACCTCTGCTCCTAATAATAAAGATTAAAATTAAGATAACGGTTGGGCAAATATTAAGTATAAATGAACTGACTGACCTCTTGTGGGAAACGCCTGCTCCCAGGGTATGCAAATCGTCCAGAGATTAAAGAGCACGGCCGCAAACAGGAACCACTTAAGGCCGCTGCGTCGCTGCTTAATGGAATAGTTGTGATAGAGTTCGTTGAGCACGTGCTGGGGTAGGATGACCACACCACCGCCGGTAATGCCCACGCCCCCAGCGACGACATCGCCCTCGTTTGGCGGACGTCGACGTGTTGGTGTCCTTTGGCGTTTAGTTTTACTGGGTGTGGAAGCTGCCGTTGTTTGGCCATTCTCGAGATTGGATGCCTTTTCTTCCGGCATGTTGCGAGGTCTGCAATTGCACTATTGCAAATTTTTCGTTGATCGGCGCACTTGTAATTTGTTTGTATTATAATTATTATTATTTGGTTTTTATAATGCAAGTCGGGCCATTTCAGTTAGCCGTCTTATCTTTACTTATTTATGCTGGATCTGGAGCTGAAGCTGCGTGAGGACCCGTTGGTAAATAGAATAATATGAAACACAAACACAAATACGAAACTTGTACACAAAACACAAACGTTAACGGTAAATGTGAGGCTTAACATTGTCGATTGCCTCGTGGCGTCCACTCTCTCCCGCTCCCCGCTCCCGCTCTCTCTCTCTCTCTCTCTCGCTAAATATAAGTGTGTGAGTGTGTGAGAGAGCGCCAAGGCGGAAGCGTCCTTGTACGAGAGCCATGAGCGTGGCCCTGTGTGCGAATGCCGCTATGTGTGTATATGTTAGTGTGCTGCCTTAAGCAGAAAGCTCCTAACCGTTGTACAGTGTGCTCAAAGCAATTAATTAACTAATTGAAGCTGATTTAATTGTAAGCAACGTCTTTTCTGCGTTCTTTACGTTTTATAAATTTTATTATACAAATTTTTGTATACATAATTGGAAGAAGTTTTAAATTAAACTTTTTACTATACTTGATATATTATTTTTAGTTCTTAGTCATATAAATTGTAGTATATTTGTGCTATCATATCTTCAAGCTCGCTGACTTTGTATAAAATCTACGAGTTTATTTTATCTAATCATTTTTTTAAATTAAAGTTAATGGACCCAGCTTATACTGCACACTAAAAATATATCGATTGATTGCAGTACGAATATAAATCAGATAAGTTAAATTTCATAATAAATATTGACTAACGGAAATTACAATGCAGAGACGTCCTCCACACACCTCAAACTTTTGTTATCTTATCAACTTATGAGTTAATTTGACTGAAATAATTATTATATTTGAAACTATTAATTGAATTGATTTACTCCACTATTAAGCAGTACTGCAGGTAACCCATGGCTTCGTCTTATCGTTAGATAAGATAGAAAAGTATATGAAATTTTTTGAAGAATGAGGCGATTCCTTGAGCTTTACTTTTATTTTCCGCAATATGTAAACTCGTTTAATTATATTAATATATATCTTTATTTTTTTACTTTAAATTTTCTTCGGAATGTAAATTGAGTTGTTAAATTTTCATTCACAGCGCTTAATAACCGTTTGCATAAATTATGATAATATTTTTCAGCCACATTTTACACATACACACCACAGTGCACATATTGTCCTGACTCGCTCTCTCTCTCTTTCTCACTCGCATGCTAGCGAGCAACGTTACTCAGTGTGTCTCACTATGTTCGACTGTCCCTCTCTCACTTTCTCTCTTTTCAGCTACCTGCCCGACATGCTGTTTCCTCTTCAGTTGGTTGGCGTATCCTTATTGCCGAATTCGTTGCTTCTTTTCTTGACATACAAAAATCCTTTACTTCAAGCTACGCTCGTGGATATACGTCCGTATGTATATAGGTATATATATATATCTGTATGATTGTGTGTGTTTATCTATGTGTGTTTAAGGCTGATTTGCTCAAGGTTCGTTTTAATGCGTTGTGATTTCGTTCCTGTGTGTGTGTTTGTGAGTGTAAGTGTTTGTCTTCGCGTCTATGTGTGTGTACCCACTTTATGCATTTACAGTCAATTTCGGATCTAATTTTAATTTAAATAAACAACGGCTCGCGCACAAAACTAGGCAGCACAGTTACAGTTTCTTCTGCATAGCATTCCTTTTTGTATGGAGGCTGCGACAATGGTTTAAGCATGTACAGAAAATTCTGCCTGCTGCAGATGTTTTTTACACTTTTTACATGAATAGAATTATATCATGGCACACACGGTAATTGAATTAACCTTTTTTAGCTGCTTCGTTGTGGTTTTTCAATTTTTTTTAACTGCCTGCTCTTGCTGCTGCTGGTACTGCGGCTGCGGCTGCGGCTGCTGCTGCTGCGGACCTATTTTTCTGTCGCAAGCGTCACGCGAGCTAATTTCTGCGAACTAAACTAAGACGCACGATAAACTTGACTGATTGTTAAGTGAAAATTTTTGACAGTCAACAGCCCAACAGCTCAACAGTAGCAGTAAAAGCAGCACCAGCAGCAGCAAGGACTTTCTATATAAGCGTCAAACATGAACGCGCTCTCTATCTCTCTCTTTTGCTCTCTTCAACGTAAGCTGTTCTGGTGAGAGAGCTTTCCATCGCAAGCTCAGTGAGCGCATGGCATTGAGAGCGCACTGCAACTGATAACGGTACAGCTGTGCAGCTTGATAACGCAACTGTGCAATGCTCGTTGTACTCGTAAGTGCATATGTGTGGGTATGTAACAGGACACCACACTCGCACTTAAGCTTGATTACTCGAATTGCCGCAGGCTTATAAAATTAATTATTAAGAAAAACGTTACTAAAATGGCTATCAACTGTGTCAGTGACGTCGGCAGCGGCAACAGCGTCGACGCCACCGAGAAACACAAAAACAGCACCTGGCCTTGGGCACGCCACAGGATGCAGCTGCGGCTGCCAGAATCGTAAATGTAATGCATGTTAAAGAGCAATATGTTGAATGGGATACAGATGATATTTTCAATAGGATGAATAGCTATAACTAGATAGGAGAAAATAAATAAACTAACCTCAAACGAATACTACTATTATATAATTTCAAATACATGTACATACATATATGTACATATATAGCAAAATATGTAAAATCAAATATTAGAAAACTTTTGTGACTACATTTAATTTGACAGTACACAATCTTCCACAGCGCCCACTGTGCAAATACACACACACAAATGGAAATGGATATATGTACATGCATGCAAATGAATATGGATGCGCTATATGTATGTATGTACATATGTACATATATACGAGTATATGTATAAGTACATGTAAATTTTATTAGAAAATTCGCAATACTAATTAGAATTATGATGAAAATTATGATCAAAAGATTGGAATTATATTAGAATAATATATAGACATATGTATACTAATGTGTCTTTATTTAAACTTCAAGATTTATACATGAACTTGTATGCATATCTTATATACATACATATAAGTATGCATGTATGTATGTACTCACACCTTTTCGAGCACTGCAGCGCAGCTGGAAAATCCATGTAAAAACGCGCGCATACAAAGCAACAGCAGCAACAATTGCGGCACCAGGTAATAAAACAGGGCAAACAGCCGGCTGTCCTCAGCTGTAGAACAATATTAAGCCAGGACGTGCACAATGGCACGTGATGCTGCTTAATCCATCTGTCTCGATGCGTCAACTGTGAGGTCGCTTATTACCTGCCTGCCTAAGAATTCGGACTACTGAAATTTCCGCTTTATTTTTAAGACTCAGAGCTCGAACAAATCGACAATTACTTTGATTGATTGCTTCAGATTTCCATTTGGCGGGCTAACGTATTATTATAACTATCGATAGCATTTATTCGCCGTCGTATTTAACATACATATCTAACTATTGGGGTACTCTTGCTGAAAATTCATTTGAGTGCATGATAATAATAAACAAAAACTATTACAGAGCTAGGAAATAAAAAGAGTTTTCCTTAAAGCGCATTAAAACGATCAAAATTGTCTTTGAATTTGTATAATCTTTTATAGATGGCGCCTCTAGAATTATATTTATTAGCTATGTATGTATATACTGTAAAGCATGCATATGTATGTATGTATGTATATACATAACATACACAATATACAATATATGCAATTACATATATGTATGTATACGGCTTGCAACTGGGACTAAAATGATCCGTGGATAAGAGCAGATATTTTCCTAATCCTTTATCAAAAGTATTATCAAAATACATCTATGACTCTACAGAGTAAAATCTGAACTACAACAAAGACTTATACTAACATAATACAAATAGAAAAGAGAGAGATTAATATGAAAAAGTAATAGAACAGATGCCGCTTAGACCATGTGTTTTGGAAACTTCCTGAAAATTGTATTTAAAATACATATATAGAAAGCCAAAATTGTACAAACTCTAACTATTAAACAAACTACAATCAGTAAAATGTAGATAATAATTAAATTATCCACATGACATTTAAATGAATCGTTGTTTTAAATATTTATGTGATTAAACATCGTGACTTAAAAGGCTATCGATATGAAAAATATTGCAGCTTTATTGAAAGGTAAAAGTATTTTCTCTCACTCTAACATACAATGCTTCTTGAAAGGCTGTTGCATTCACTCTATTCACCACATTCTAGTGCGACGCCATAGTCCCATACAACAGTACCATTTTGAGTTTAACATTATGTTAATACTTAAGAATTAATCACAAATTAAAAATCGACAAAAAGGAATTCGTTTTAATGGAGTTAAAATCTGTATTTAAGCATATTTTCGTTGAAGTTTGCATGTAAAAGTGAATACACATCAATTACATATAACTATATATTCCAAATTGCATTTTTTTTAAATATTTTGCCGCAAATATATCGATATCTAATTTGGTTTTGGAAATTATCGATGTGAATAGTAATATACCTAGTGTATATAAAGTTACCTCAGCTTCTGTCTCTGTCTCATTCGGCGTTTTTCTGCGTAACTGTGTGGACGTTATTCTGAACGGCAACCAAAAACCCAGCAGGCATTCAACTTTAAAAGCAGCAGAGCTACCTGAAAAAAGTGGTCAAGCAAGAGTAATTGCACAAATTTATGAAATTTGCGAATCTTGTTGTACCTACGTGTTTTGGTTTTAAGTATTAAAACAAGTCGTGTTTGCGTACGCGTGCTATTTGCAGAAAAGTAAAACTAAAACCTTCGCGCTTCTCTTTGAAAAGTAATTCTTTAAAAGTTAAAATGGCTGATGTGGCTGAGAAAAAGAAGTGAGTAATTTTATTTGGATTTGTGTGTAAATATGTGTGATCTAGCCTTTGTTGCATGTGTGTGTGTGCGTTGAATATGTTTAAACAATATATGCAGCGGCAATTGCGGGTAATTTCGCAAGTGATGTACATAATTTTTTTTTCCAACGGTTTGGAAAAAATTTCTTTTTGAATTTTGTGTCTATCCTACGTAAAATGCTTGAACAATCTATAGAGTTGTCTCGCTTACTCCAAAGCTGTCTAAATGTGCGCGCAAAAAACGACGCCGTTGAAATTGGCGCGGCGTCATGACGCTTTCTCGCTCTCACACTCCGGCCGGCAAACAGCGACGACGACAGCGGCAGCGACTTCGTCAGCATGCTTGTTGTTGGGCATGTTCGTGGTGGCGGCTGCTGGTAAAGGCAAAGAAGTAATATATTGAGCGTACATGTGGATGTGTGTATATACGTACTGTGTGCTGTGTGCAAAGCGGAGTGCGCAAATAAGTATGTATGTATATTTGTGTGAGCGTGTGAGCACACTGCATCAGTGTGTAGCATTCAAGTTGCCGCTCTTTTTTTTGTGTTCCGTTTGAGTTTCAGCTGTCGTTTTGTCTGTCTCGTCTGTTTGCTTTTGCCCCTGTCGTCTGGCCATTAATTTTTGTCAGTATTGTCTTGCGCATATTTCGTTTAAAGCTTAAAGCTTGGCATTGTTGGCCGCTTCTTTGCGCTCTTTGCTTGTTTTTGTGCTAATGAGCTGCTCAAATCAAATTCTGTTTTCAGATATATTTTGTCATTGCCTAAAATAAACGCAACGCCATGCCGGTTGCTCGCACTCGCATTGTCTACGTTTCGCTCTGCGTTTTCTTTTAACTTCTCTTGCGACGCAGTTGAAGATAACCGTTAGAAACCTTTTGTCTGTTGTCTGAGGTTGTGTTAGTCGCCGGGGTAGGGGGAAAGCTATTGTATTGTAGGTGTTTGTGTTAGTGTACATGTGTATATATATTTTGACCGTTATTTTTGCCGCTTTGCCTTGCAATGCAATTCTTTAAGCGCGCTCTTGCTCGCTCTTTGTTTGCTGTTTCGCTTGTGTACGTGACGCGCGCGCATTGTAGCCCACAAATGGTGTGTGCGAGGGAGACGCAAATAGTGTTTAAAACATGAAAACCAGTTTTTTTTTCGTCAGTTCGCTCGTTGTATTTCAAGCAAGTCGCGCTTTTTTTTTTTTTTTTTTTTTTTTTGCACGCTTTGCCTTTGCTCTTTACTCTTCACTTTACATTTTATGCTATGTACACCTATTATCCGGCTGGTGTATAAAGGAAAAAGCACAATTTTTTGTTATATATTGAAGCGCATGCCGCTCACCTTTTTTTTGTTTCTTTTTGCGTCGCAGTTTCCACGAGTTGTTGCTCCCATTTATCATTTGCGGCGGCAGATGCTTTTAACAATGTGATTGTGTGTGTGTCTGGCTCTATTTCTACTGAGGGTGGTTGTAACCAACGCGGAAACGACGCCGGCTGCGGAGTTAACGGCTTTTGCCGAACTTTCGTATGATTGAAATTTTTCTCTCGATTTTTAATAGATTTGCGAAATGTTTGAATTCCTGCATTTTCTTGATTTTCTAATTTTGTATATTTATGTAAAATATCTACTTATTTTTAACTAATCACAGCGAGACCCCCGTGGTTGAGAAAGTTGCCGCTGAAGAGGTTGATGCTGTAAAGAAGGATGTCGTCGCTGCCGACGATGCAGCAGCAGAGACACCGACCACCACAGAGAACGGTGCTGGCGAGGAGTCGAGCAGCAGTGTCGATGGCGCTAAAGAGAACGGTGCTGAGGCCAGCGCCGAAGCTGCGCCCGCTGCCGACGCTGTCGATGGTGAGAAGACAGACGCCGCAGCACCAGCCGATGAGAAGAAGGTAGATGTGGAGGCTGAGAAGACAACAGCTGAGGCTAAGCCAAGCAGCGAGGCCGCCGCAGCGGTTGAGAATGGCGCCGATGATGCAGAGGCAGCTAACGGTGACTCAAAAGGTAAATGTGAAAGAATAAACATAACCTCGAAATTTGACATTTAATTTGTATTTTCTTTTCATTTTGGTGCCCCATTTTTAGATGCGCCCTCCGCTGAAGCTGTGAAGCGAAAGGTGGATGATGCTACCGCTAAAGCCGATGAGGTCGTTGCCACGCCGGAGAAGAAGGCGAAGCTGGACGAGGCCAGCTCAAAGGATGAAGTTCAAAATGGTGCCGAAGCCAGCGAGGTGGCTGCCTAAAGAGTCCTGGCTAACTGCATCGCATCGCATCGCCCGCTCAGCCAGCAGCACAGTAATACATTTAAATTTACTAACATACACAAACAAATCACACACAAAATGCGCTCACGCACTCATGCACAAACATACGCACACACACATACCAACACTGACTTGAGTTACTCTGTATGTATGTGTGAGTGTGGATGTGCATGTGTGTGTGCTGACATTTCTAATAACAATCCTGTAAAAAGGGAGCGTAGTCTTAAAATGTACCGATTCTCTCTGACTTTACTAACAAAAAAGAAAAAAAAAGCAACAAGAAAAAATCCATTATCATTTAAAATTTACTTAAAAACAAAAACTTAACTTTAAAGAAAAAAGTATATATATATAAATACAAAAAAGAAACAATTAAGATGCGTTTTAAGCAGACAAGCAGACAAGCAAACAAAAAAAAAGAAGAGTTGTACACAAGAAAAACATCAAATTTAATAATAATATAATAAAAAAAAAAGAAGCAAACCATACAAAAACAATTTGCAAGTCTTGTAAAAGTAAACGAAAACAAATTTAATATTACGCATTTGTCATTTTTAAGATAATTTCTTTTTTAATTTTATGTATGATCCTATATTATATATGAGTATTTATATTAAAAGAAAAAACAAGCTCTATGTTTAAAACTCGATAAAAAAAAACAAACAAAAAAAGAAAGAACTCCTAAAGAAGAAACAGGAAATAACATAAAGCTGCCCGCGCCCCTTCAAGCTCCTCACATGAAAGATTTATAAATAGAAATATGCATATATGAAAGGAATATCAAGTTTTTATATAGCAATGAAATCAACAGCGCCGACTCGCCAAACTTAAGAAAATTAAATTATATTTAACAACTTTAATGTACAACCGTAATTTTTTTGAATTTTTTTTATATACTTTTATTTTACTGTATGACTTGGCTAAATCTTCTATCTATTCTTTTCGCATTTAACGTGTCTAATTTTGTGTAAAGGGCGTTCGTTATATACATATGTATATGTGAGTATATTGGTGGTTTCTTATTTACATAGGTTCCTCTTCCCCCACATTTTTATTCAGCGCTTTGCTCTCTTCCTCGCACTCACACGCACTCCTTAAACTTTGACTAAGTTGTTTAATGGCAACAGAAGAGCAGCGTAAAAAGCAACAAGAACAAACAGACGAAACCATAGGCAATAACGCATGCAGAAAAACAGAAAGGCAAATGAAATAAAAGGTAGACACAGAACACACTATTAAAATTAGAGCAGTGTATGTGAAGAAGTGGCAAAATTGAAAGAATACAAAACTTTTCTAAAGTAAAGAGCCGTACAGAACATTCAGCCAAGTTAAGCAGCAACAACAACAAGCAGAAAACGGCTAACAAAACGTAGCCAGATGCAGAGAAAAAATGATATAAAACCACAAATAAAAAACAACATTCGAGAACATTCAAAAATAAATGGAAGAACAAAAGAAATACAAAAACAAAAACCAAGTTAATTATTATGTCTACTCTTTGGTTGGGTTTCGGGGGGCTTTGCGCCTTTCTAGAAACTTCCTAGAACTCGCTCGCATCGTATGTTTGTGTGTGTGTGTTTGCATGCACATTTGGACGCGACTGTACACCATAGACATGGCTTATCAGCAGCAACCGTTTTTGGCATTGAAGTGCGTCGAAAAAAGCTCCAATGCGGAATTAGCATATTCATTTAAATAAGGTATTTCTTATATGTATGTATGTATATATGTATTTACATTTAAAATCTAATCTGACAGAAGTTTTTTCTTACATGGAAAAAAGCTCAATATGAATGTAATATAGTATAAGTAAATGCACGAAAATAAATATGATCGCATCCGTGCGGATGTGAGTCACATTTAAAGTACATTTGTAAAGCATCTACAAAAGCTCGACGGCGAAAGCTTTTCATTGGTAAGCTAGCATTTTCGAGATAGCTTTCATTGAAAGCTGCCAACTTGTAGAGCATCGTATTGGCCATGTAAACCGAAAGCTTTTCGGCGAGCGTTGCTCCAGAAGTAGTAGATTTTTCTTGCTTAATGTGCATATTAAGTTGAACACGGCTTGAGCAGCCCTCGTGTAACAATATTGCGGTACTGCGCGCGTGCCAATTGGCATGAATTTTAGAAAACTCTCAATGGAGCTTTGGAAAACATATTTATTTGAAACGCAATTGATTGGCTTTGACCCAAAAATAAAAATAAAAAAAACTGGTTCTATTATTATTTCACAATTAAACTAATCAAAATTTATTTATTTATTAGAATATAAAATGATTTTTTACAATTTAAATAAAAATGTATAGAAACAGCTGTAGCAGTTAACCTTGAGTCGTCTGTCAAGTTGCGAAATTCAAATTGGTGGGATAGCAAAATTCTCGATTGTTGCCTATTGTTGCTCACTTGCAGAAGCTCATTGGCAGAGCGCTATGAAACTCACCAGCTCAGTTCGAAATGAAAATGCGAGAGAGAGAGAGGAGAGCTGCCGTGCAGAGTGCTAAACCAAGGTGATAAGATAACGAAGAGTAGGCGAAAATCACACTGCCCTCTTTTGACACTCTGCAGCGACTCAAAGCTTCGATCGCAGTAGCAATTGAATCGTGCGCGCGAGTGGATGCTAAAGCGGAAAGCAGTGCAACGTTAAACCCGTTAATCAAACAGAAACAGTCAACAGCTCAACTAGTTGTTTTTATTTATACGTTTTATTGTAATTATATTTAGTTAACAGTGACGTCGCAGTTTATAGAGCACGTGGATGTATCTTTAATTGTTTCTGTCAAGTGGAGGTGTAAATAAAAAAACGAATAATAAAAAAAAAAAAAGAAATACTAAAACAGACAAACACACGGTCACAACAGGGACTCACGCACGCACATACTCGCACATTGCTGTTACGTACCTTTTTGAACATCGCGTGTGGAAGGTAGAGCGAGAGAAAGAGGAAGAGTGTACGCAGTAAGATGTCCAACAATTTGCAAACGGTAAGAGAATGCAGAATGCAGAGAATGCTTTATAACCCGTTTCATTATTATTGTTGCTCTTGGTAGCAGCTTCTCTGCATTATTTTTGTTTTTGTTACGAATTCTCTACGTATTCGCGAACATTGACCGATACGGCCATTCGTGTGTCATCGTGAAATCTTTGGCGGCTTTCAGGCTCTCTTGCAAAGCGCACCAAGAAGTCCATTCATTTTGCTAACACGTTTGTCGCCTGCAGTGTGAACTATTAAAAAAAAATGTATTGAAATAACTTTTGACAGCTGCTGAAATTAGTTGTCTTTAAAGTTTGTAATGAATAATTGAGCATTTGTTATTGATTTTGATTTTGGTATACAATTTGTTGGTATATACATGCGCATGTATGTAATCAGATCTATTTCTAGTCTACTGTGCTAACTGCTTTAATCGAAAGTGCTAAAGAAAAGATGATTATTTTTATTTATATATTCATATATTTTTAAATACATTCTTTTTTTTATTATTTATATATAACTATTTGTTCTACTGTGTTAAACGCTTTAATGGAAATTATTGAAAGAAACAAAAATAGTTGCTTTTATTTTTAATGCGTATTACACGGCATTGATGTCATCAATCTCAATGAACTGATAAGCTGAAGCAAATATACATATAGATGTAGAGGTATTGGCCTATTATCTGATAGAGTATTACAGAGTCGATCTGTTCGGTCACTTCAAGGCTCTTCCGTTGTTGCATTTGATTTCATTTTTTTATTGTCATTTTTTAATGATTCCACGCTTCTAGCTTATTCCTTGTTGGGCTTATCGCATTGTTATACATTGTTGTTATACATTGTTATACATTGTTGTCGTTGGCTCTCTTTATAATACAACTGGCGGCATGTTCTTGATAAGCATGTTTCTCTTCTTGTTGTTGTTCTTTCTCCTTTTGTTTTCGTATAAATATTGCTTTTATTTTACTCTCTTCAAATTTTGCCATATTTTGTTGATTTATTTATGTATACTCTGGGGTTAAAGCTCGTGTCGCAGACACTTATCGCAATGGGCGCCGCACAGGTTGCTCTGCGCACGGGCAGCACGCGCTGCCTTAGCCAGACGCTGACGCGCATTTACCGCTACCCGCCCGACTCTAACGGCCGGTGGAGTTGCCAGAGTCGACGCAATAGGTCACGTGCCGTCGCTGCTGCGGCGCAGTTGCGCAGCGAATTGCAGACGCATAGCTTTAGTCAGGTAATTGCTTTAAGCCAATTATTATATACCTAGAAAACATACATACACAAATATACACACACATATATACAAGCATAAATATACACACATACATACACAAATAAATTTAAATACCTAAATGGGATTTACCCAACCGCTGTCGTTATTATTCTTGCTAGTTTTCTGTAAAGTAACTTTTGATTATTATGATTATTTTAATGAATCATTTACTCGCAGTGAATCATCTTGTAAGTGAGAAAAATAGAAAATAGAACAAAATAGTTGCGGGAAAACTAAAAAAAAAAAGACCAAAGTTGATTTAAATAAAAATAATAAAATAACAATATAAACAAAGTCGAACGTTTTTATGAATACTCAAGTGTATATATTCTATTATATATTTCAATTTATTATTAACTATATTATTATTATTTTTATTTATTTTATATTTTTTTTTTTGCTTTCTATTCTTCAATTATTAATTTATTTATGAATATATTCTTATTTATATTTAAATATTATTATTTTATTTTATATTTTACACACAACTATTTGTTAAATTTTATTTATTTTGTATTATACATATATTATTCATTATTCATTTAATGACTTAATTTAGGGTTCATAACAGACATTTCCAAATAAAATCGTAATTTACAAAAAATACACTAAGTCCGCAATATTGCATAATTGTATATAAGAATTTAATTCTAATGTAACTATTTTTTACTTTTGGCAATAACTATTGAATTAATTGTTAGAGCAAAGACGAGATAAGATAAGAGACAGAAAGGGACAATTAGAAAAACTAATAATAAGTACTTAAAGAATGTAACTTGGCTTTAATATTCAATATTAAATAAATTTTGAAAATGTTAAAACTTTTGTAAAATTATATTAACTTTAGTTATAAATACTTTAAAACTTATATATTTTTTTTTTGTAAAAATTAAAATTATTTAATGTGGCGTTAGCTAAATACACAATTTAATCTGATAAAATGTTAAAAATTACTTAATTACTTGTTAATGTTAAGTAACATTAATCCAATTTGCTCATCAAATTCGAATTTGTTTGTAATTTATAAATCTTTACAGACCCATCGATAGGTATTTGATAAATGTACATATTTATTTGAGATACTGCCCACAAGCTTAAGCTAATTATTAGCCACGTGTTCCACATCAACCATAGAATTGTATTTTATTTTCTATACCTAACAGCTCCAAAAGTTTTTTTGGCATGCTTATTTTTAATTTGCTTTCCACTTAATAGGTATTTGTATAACACGCGTTTCAAATCTTATCTCTAGTTTCGCGCTGTGCAATGAGAACTTTCAACTTTTTGGCAAACAAATCTAAATTTAGTCTTTTTTTTTCGGGGAAGTTACCAATTAATACTGACCTACATATGAACATTGCGATTAGAGGAATGTTAAATGTACATATTTAATTATAATTTAAATATATTATTAAAAGATGTAAAATAAAAAATGCATATAAGACTGAGAATATAATTTTAAGCTGGTAAACATTTTTTTTAACATTAAACTGAATAAAATTAGGCGATCTATAGTAAAATGTAAATTAATTTTGTAATTTATTATGTGAACGATTTCGAAGAGCTTTAATGAGCTTTTAGATAGAGCCTTAATATTATATCTTCATGATGTTGCCAAATAAAAATTAAGAATATATGAAATACAAATTTCTTCTCATTTTTATTAGTTCTTGAGCTTTATAAGTCTGTGGATACTCTGGCAAACTGGTAAATAAGATTAATAAATATATGAATAAAAAAAAAATTTGATAATCTATATATTCGACAATTAGAATAATAAAAAATACTTTAACAAATTAAACCCAAATTCAGTAATATCAAGTAAATTATTTAAATAGAGTATTGCCTAGTCGCTATTAATCGGTGCCTAACTACAATGTAGATAGACCTTAAAATACAAATTATTAAATCTACAGTTGCGTACTTAAAAGATTTGCCATTGGCAAAAGCAAAATATAAGTGAAAAATATTTTCCGATTAAATTTTTGCAAGTGGGCGCTAAATAAAATAGTTCTTGATAAGTTTTAATAGAACTGATAAGGCCCGGAACAGGCTTTGGGAAAAAAGTCTTATTCACATTAATATAGTAATTTTTATAGTTCTCGCTATTTGCTATTAAATGCCTTTAATGGGCTTATCAGGTTCAGGTATAAAACTTGTATATAGTTTATATACTTGCGTGTTCTTTTGGCCATCAAATGTCTCTCTCACATTGTTTTACACATTATATGAAATATTTATATCAACTGTTTGCCATTCTTACAATATATTGTTGTTCCACTTGATAAGAGACATTTGCTTTGTGCGTAAATGGAAGATTTTCTTGTTGCGCTGTTTGCGTGGAAAATTCCACAAAATTTACATTGAGCTCGTTATATTTACAAGTGTGTGGGTGTGTGTGTTTGGGGTGAAAGTTGTCTGTATTTTGATGCACCGATGGATTAAACTAGTTTTTTTTTTTTTTTTTTTTTTTTTTACCAGCTATAGTTTTAGGATATTCAAACTTACTTACATAATAAAACATGTAAGAACGTTGCATTCGGGCGTTATCGACTGCAGAATACGCCTTCACGGGTCAACGTATATTTTTCAAATTTCAATTCTCCAGCTTTGAAAGCCGAACAGACGGACGGATATTGCACAAAACCAATAAACTCATTTAATTTTTGTGAGTAAGCATAAAAATTAAATAAATATTTTAATGGATGATAAAGATGAATGAAGAAGGGGAGTCGAAAATGTCTTGGGCCATTTAAGAGAGGATAGAAAATGAATGAAACGAATGAATAGAAAAATCTAGGGAGAGAGAGAGAGAGAGAGTAAGAGAGAGAGAGTGAGAGAGAGAGTGAGAGAGAAGAGAGAGAGAAGAGAGAGAAAGCTGAGCTAATCCTGAAGGGTTGCAGCCCTTCGTGCACCTTAAGGCAAAGAAAAAATCTTATAAATAACTGCATACCTGCTGCATATGGATTAGATCCAACTGGAAGGTTTTACTTGTGAGGATATATATATATATATTTATATCTATGTACACTATACATATGTACTTGTATCTGCAGTTCTAATTTATAGAAATTATCGTTTTCTTTAAATTGCCTAATTGCCTTTTTAATGGAATTTTATATGGGTGATTTTTCGAAATATTTAATTTTCTTATTATATCATATATATGCTAAGCTAAAATTCGAACAGTCGTCCAACTGGAAGCAGGTCAACGAACGTTCATTGATGATATATGTATATCAAGGCCTTAGTTGTAAGTTTTGAGCAGCATTTACAAGCACTTGAATGATACAATCTAATCTTAAATAGGTGCTAGACTACAATGAGTTGCCATTAAACCAGTTTCAAATAGTTTTTCTCTACTTAAGTTGTTTTTCTTTTTTTTTTTTACCTGTCGTCCAGAAATCGAACATCTGTTGAAAAATCAGAGAAGGCAAAGCAATTGACGTAGTTGGTAGTTACGTTCGTGGTTTGTGTGCTAGGTAAGCATATACTTTAGCCCTAGCGCAACCAGAGGGCAAGGTGGTTGGTGGTGCATCAACCACCAAAGACAGAGATAGAGAGAGACAGAGTGAGAGAGTAAGACATAGAGAAAAAGAGCGAGACCGAAATGAGTAGACTGAGCGAGCATCTCAGGGCTACGATGAGTCAGTTCTGTTGTGAGCTGTTTCAGTTTATTATTGAACGCCCAGCTGTGAGGAACTAATCCACTTAATACGGAACAACATTGAAGACTTGCGTGCATACGGAATTGTTAAATCAGTGTTTTTTATATAATTAGATTTACACATAGCGTTTTATATATAGTATTTGAAAATTTATCGGGATTTCTTGTAAAACGGAATAAACGTAGTATGAGACAACGTAAAGGTTGCATTAAACAAAAAACTCGTCGTCAAAAGCAGCAGAAATTTCTAGATATTGATCAAAATTGTTGTAAACGTCCACGCTGTAATTATGAACATATCTGGCAACATTTTCGACGCAATGTAAGCGAACCATATTTAAGTAAATATAATATATTTAATATATCTAACAAATTTAACATATCTAATATATTTGATTTAATTTTGTTTTTAGATTATTCAAAAATCTAAAAATTCTATTATAATATGTTTGGTACATGATAGTTGATAAACATGGGATTTTTATTTGCAGCATATTTAATGTTTTAGGACACATGTTATTTTGTAAACAACTATTTGTTGTTTGCCATAATTGCTATTTTTGTACATATTTTTATTTCAGAATCATTTACGTTTCATTTAAAATTAAATTTGTAAGCAGTATATTTATTTTTTATGAAAATATGTACCATTATATATGTTTGGTAATATTTTGGTAAATGTTCAGAATAGGAAAATGTTATGTTTATGTTAGACCTATGTTGCTATATGTTATCCAGAGCCTGGGTTAATATACCACCATAGTACTCATTTCCTACATTAGAGGTAAATGTTGACTATTTGCACATCATATGTTACGTACATGTTAGGTACATGATAGGTAAATGTGAGGTACATTTTTGCTATCACTTAGGTACATGATACGCACAGTTGATATATACACACACCAGTAGAATCCCGATAATTCGAAATGGCGAGGGGATAAGTTCTTTTCAATTTACACAGAAATTCAATTTATCGAGCATTATTGAGAACAAATTTCTTTCCAGGGGAAAATCGATTTATCGCGAATTTCGATTTAGCGGGGTACAAATTATCGATTATATGTTAGCTAAAATTGAGAAAAAGTTTAATTAGTTATTATTAGCCTACAAATAATGTAATTCCTAGCTAGACATCATGTACTAACTTGTTTTACCTCATATAAAATATACATATATATTATATTTGAATTGTACGCCTAAAAACACTTTTAGTTCTCTCGGGACCTTGCACTTGTACTAAAAATTGTACGCGAGGCTACTTAGAATTTAGACATTGTTTATTTTCAGTTTTGTATATACACAATATATTGCATGCCATTTTTCGTTGTTGTTTTGCATTGAACACATTGAAGTATATTATATTGTATATTATTCTTCTATATGTACATATTTGATATTATTAGTACGACCCACCAATACTCACCCTCGCGAAACCTCTGCCGGGTATGAGTACCCGCATTTGTTTTGTCAATTCGTAAACGTCAAAAGTTTTTTCTCTCTCTCTTGCGCGCGCTCTCTCTCTTTTTCTCTTGTCTCTGTAAGGCACACTCTCTTCTCTTCTGTTTTACTCAATTATAATTTCTGTTTCTCTTTGGTTTTTGGTACATTTAACGCTCTTGGCACACATCCAAATAGGCCACACTTGAGGAAATTCGCCAAGCGGCTGCGCGCATTTGCCGTGACTATCTAACCGGACGCTGGAAGGTGGTTACCCCAGAGCAATTGGTGGTAAAGCGCATCAGGTGAGTTCCATATTACAAATTTGCATAAAATCAATAAAAAGTCATTTAATCTGTACAAATATATTATTGCGTTTTAGCGGTGGTCTCTCGAATTTCTTGTATTACGTCAGTTTGCCCGACTTGGATGATTTTGATGAACAGCAATTGTTGGAGGTAGAGCAGCAGCAACAGCAGACAGGAAATGTCAACGTCAACATTGGCAAACACGTCATAGCCGCCTCGGCATTTGCTAAGAATAGCGAAAACAACAACAACAATAATAATAACAATAACAACAACAACAATATCAAAGATGTGGCACCGGAGGTAACAAAAAATCCCTCAGCCATCACCCACGCCGATGATGATGATGACGATGCGGCGCTGAGCGCTAAACAGGCAAATAAAAGACGACGCTTTGATAGCGACAGCGGCGATAGTTTGCTGCGACGTTTGCACAGTCCCAAGCAGGAACCCCGTGAGGTAGGTCGATCACATTTGACAATCTCTTTATAAATGCTAATACTTAAATAAAAATAAACTCTCAACACAATATAGGTGCTGCTGCGCATCTATGGTCAAACGCATGGCGATCATGCCCTGGAGACCATGATAACAGAGTCTGTGGTATTTGCCCTGCTCAGCGAACGTAACTTTGGACCGAAGCTGCATGGCATATTTCCCGGTGGACGCATTGAGCAATATATACCGGTGGGTTGGGCAGCAGAAGTAGATAGAACAAACTAGAAGAGTACAACAATTGCCGATTTATTTTGTCTTTTAATATTTAGATTGAGATTGTCATATTTTAAGTAAGATTTTTTTTGCATATCTAGATAGACTGAGTGATAGGTATATTTGTTATCAACATGCTAATATTAATCGAGTAAATATAAGTGTATTAAATTTAAGATTGACATCTTTATCAAAATTTTTGCACAGATATAGATTTAGGCTTGCAAATATATAGAGATGTAGATGTAGTTATTCATATGTTAATACTGTAATCAAGTAGATGTACCCTTTGTGCTGTATAGAATACTTCTAGAAATTTTATGTTCTTTTGTGTATGTATATACTATTCAAGTATTTAATCATATGAATCAATTTTAGTCTAGCCAAAATAATTATAAAATTAGTTTAGAAAATGTTTATCAATACAAAAGAAAGGTTTTTTTTTTTTTTATAATACTTCTGAGAAATAATAGTCTAATACTTCTGTAATAGGCATAATCAAATATATCGCTTAATTTATTTTATTTTATTTTCTTAAAAAAAAAAGTTTGCTTTATATATTAGTTTTGCTTGCTTTTACTTAAGGTGATCAGTACCAATTTTAGATCAGTAAATCCGTGCTATAGAGAAATATACACAAAATTGTGGGACTATTCAATACCCTGTAGCTTAAAATACTTATATATTTATATTCATTCAGGCACGCACATTGACCACCACAGAGCTGGGCGATGCTCGTATTTCGATGAAGATAGCTGAGAAAATGGGTGAAATACACAGCTTGAATATACCAATGTCGAAGGAACCGGACTGGATATGGAATTGCATGGACCGTTGGCTGGCCAGCTTGGATAGCATTGTAAAGGGCAAAATTGAATCGAAACCGAATTCGACAGTATTGCAAAAGCAACGTGAACTCATGCGATCCATTGACTATGTTCGGGAAATAGCCTGGCTAAGATCGGTGATAGAAGCGGGCGACTATCCCGTTGTCTTTTGCCACAACGATCTGCAGGAGGGCAACATATTATTGAGGCAATCAAACAATGGAAATGACCGTACACCCAGAGAATCGATAAGTAGTCTAAGGTAGATAGAATTATTTAATTTATAATATTCTTAGAGATGCCAATAATTCATTTCAACTCTGCCATAGATCCAATTTTGATGAGACCCTGGGCGATAGTCTGGATGGCAACAGTAATTTGGATGCGGATGACAAGTGAGTGAGCTATGTGGCTTAGTAGAAACCATTATTGGACACTAACCCGTATTTATTTGCCAATTGTTAAATTAGTAATTAGGTTATATTGTATATACCTTATGTATGCTTGTTAAAACTACCTTAAATTCTAGATGGCAGGCCCCATTGCTGCGGTCGTCAAAATGAAATTTTAATTCGGCATAAGCAAATTACCAAATACATACAGGTTATCCATGCCATAGCATACAATCACTATGATTAACTGAACTAATCGTATTCCTCTGTCTCATCCCAATATATAAATGCAGTAAGTCGCATAGTGCGTCACCCTGCCCGGAATTGGACACCACGGATGATTCCGCACTGGACTCGAGCTTTATGTCCGATCATGAGCCAGATCTCATTATCATTGATTTTGAATATTGCGCCTACAATTATCGTGGCTTCGATTTGGCTAATCATTTCATTGAGTGGACCTTCGACTACACCAATCCTCAATTCCCATACTTTCACCACTACAAACATCAATACGCACCGGTGCAGCAACGTCGTGATTTTATCGTCAACTATTTGAAGAAATATCACGATGATGAGCACTACGAGCCCCATATGGAGGAGCTCGATGCGGTCGATGCCGAAATACAACTATTTACAATGCTCTCTCATCTATTCTGGAGCCTCTGGTCTGTGGTGAATGTTACGTCAGCCATTGAGTTTGGTTATTGGGTATGTTTTTGTTAAATAGATATATATTTGATCTCATTGCTAATGTTTAATTTATTTCTGTATATAACACAGCTTAATAAAGCTTATATTACATTAGATCACGCTGTTGTGGTTAATATATATTTGCTGCTGCTGTCAATTAATATATATTTGACTACAATATATCTAATATATATCATCTATATAGAGCTATCGACTCAGACACACAGCTACAATTGTGAATGATTTTAATATTCTATTCAGTTTCGAATTACAAACGTCAAGTCACTTAGTGCTCGGAGTGCGCTGAGAGCTGAGAGAGACTGTATTCTCTTTACAACAATATAGATCTATAGAGTCTCTTAAATTCTCTTAAATTAAACTTCTGGTTGTTGGGCCCTATCTGTAGGGCTTAGAAAAACCTAAATTTTAATTCAGCTTAAAATGTAGTAGAAAGCTTCTCTATACTTATGAAATTATCATTTTAATTAATCTCGCAGTACAATGAAAAAATGATTCATAATATAATTTCACGAAATATTATTCTGAGATTATAGCTCAATAGTTAATTCCTAAAATTACTTTTTATAATGAAGAAAAAAAAAGCCGTGATAGAAAGAAAATCTATATGTATATGAATATTTTTTTAATCCGTTTAATTAATGCGAGATTCAATATTTAATTTTGGAATAGGTAATAGGGACCTGAATTGATTTTATTGTAAAGTATTTATTTCGAAGTAAGAAATATGTTTTAAAATGGTTTAATAATTGTTTTATATATGTATATATATATATATATATTTTTTTTTTTTTTAAATATGTAATAATATCATAAATTACACATTTAAATATATTTCATTTTTTAAAGTGCTGTTAAGGAATAAATAATTTATATAAATATAATTGTAGCTATTTAATTTTAATTGCATATATGAATTTTTGTTAACTTTTCAACTAATCTTTGGCATCTCTTGCAGGAATATGGCATCGCACGCATACTGGAGTACCAGCAGTTGAAGTCCGCCTATTTGGGAAAATGAATTATCGGGACTTGAGGATTAACTTTAAGGCAAAACTATCAGCGCACTTAATTGAATCATTAAGAGTACTTAAGTGGCCTTAATATTAAAACACCTACAATAACTAAAACAAATTACTAAAAAGAAAAACAAACAAACACCAACTAAGAAAAACATTTAGTCAGGAGTTACTAAATTATTCTAGCTTAGTTAATGCAAGCATACACTACTATACACTATGTGCATATGAGCTAAATGACTAGAAATGAGCAGATCTTATACTGACTATGGATATGCTGATATATGCATATATGTATCTATCTATGTATACATATATACATGATTTGTGCTGTGCATGGCATGTTTATATATTTTGTATATTATTAAATTTTTAATCATTTAACGCTGAGAAGAAAAGTCAAAATGTAACAATTGCAGCTGTGATTATTGCGTGAGTTAGGCAGAAAACAATAATTAATTCGCTCATTTAGGGATTTTGAGTAAAGTTTTGGTTAAAGTATTAAGACAGCACTAACTAACACAACTAGCTAATTCGCATACACTCTCCTTACTCAGCTCGATTCACACTACACACTCACACACATACACCTCCCACAGAGTTACTCTTAGCAATTTATTCGAGTTTATTTCACGTTCGAATTTCTGTTCAGCAACATTTTCATCGAAATTCACTTTTTGGTTTCCTTTGAAGTATTATTTTTGCTTTCCACTGCATATAACACCTAAATCGATTGTATTCTTTCAACCTGATGCGCAACATCTATAGCGCAGAAATAATTAACAAATCAGCAAATAATAAATTGGCCTTTTTGTTCTGTCTTTTGATGGTAGCGATCGATAAATATCGATAAATAAATATATATATTCCGTAAATGAATTTAGTTAAATAATATCTATGTGTAATTAGTATTTAATGTATTTGCGTCTATTTTTTAATGCAATTAATAAATCAAATATTTAGTTCAAATTACAAATACAATTAGTATTGATTTTATGTATATAATATATATGTAAATGTATATATATCTAAATATTTGCTATGCATCTGCTGTGCGACCCAAATAGGAAAAGCTTATGCAATGAAACAATAAAATATTGAGCCTAGAATCTACAATCAGTTTATATTTAGAATTTATAATTAAGTAGGCTTCCTCAAGAGGAAAGACACAAAGACGGACATATTGACACAGCTCGTCATTGTGATCAGGAATATATACTTCATGGGGTCTGCTACGCCTCTTTCTGCCAGTTACAACGATTATACCTCGCTCTAAGTTATACTGAGACCGGCTCTGACAGGCTCTGTTGTTAATTTCCTTTGCCAAGGAGTTCGACCAATCACGGCCATTCCTATGATAGTAACTCAAAACAATGCAATGAGGTGACGCCAGGAGAATATGCGAGAGCACGAATGCCGGAATGCTGGCTGCCAAAGCAATGCAGCGCATCTTTAATTAATGCAACAAACACCGAGCAACAGCAGGACTATTAAATGACATAGACGGACGGACGAACAGGTGGATAGCTGGAAGTACGGACAGTGGCATAGATGGACAGCGTGTGTGTCCCTTGTTGCACAATGATTATCTGCATGTCCTTGCGTCATGTTGTGTCTGTGTCTCTGTGTGTGTGTGTGTCTATAGTGCTCTGACCCTATGTCCGTATTGTCTTGCCTTGCGGTTTCGTCCTGCACTTGAAATCAGTTTGTCGCGGGTCGGGGGCAAGGGGTTGATGCCTGCTTTGAGGGTGGCCTTTATGCTCGTCTAATGTAATGTACGCCTCGGCGGACAAAAGCAGTCCAAAGCAATTGTCTGCGGTTGCTGGTGCTGCTGCTGCTTCTGCTGCAGGACGAGTGTTCTGCTAGGGACAACTATTGTTTAAATAAGTACAGCCTCCATCCTCACTCCACCCACCTCGACTGTTGACAGATGGACGAATACAAAATAGAAAATAGTTTTCGGATTGCGGACTGCGACAAGGCTTCAATATTTCGTCTACAACTGCTACGTGCTGCACTTTGATTTTGATGCTGATGATAATGATGATGATGATGAATTGTTATGCAGTCTTGCAACCTGGTCACAAACCATGCCCATGTCCATGTCCATGTCCAATTGCATGCTCGCCTGCATTTTGACCAAAAACTTAATTGGCATTGAGCTCAGACACGAACTCAAATTAATTAGCAAGCCAAAGTAGCAGCAGCAGCAGCAGGAGTAGCAGCAGGAGTAGCTCTCATTGCAGCTGATTGGGCAGTATTTGTGCCTGTCATAAGTGAATTAGATAAAACGTGATAAGCCACACTACAGCTCTCAAATTTCCTCATAATAGCAGCTTATTAACAAACAAATACGCAAGTATTTCTCTAAGTGTATGCCATTCAATTTGCATAAATAAAATAACTTTTCTTAAGCTGCGCAATATTTAAGCAAATGTATTTAAATATGAAATCCAATATTAATTATATTATAATAATAAAATAATATTAACAATAATATATTATAATAAATTAATTGTAGTTTTGAGAACTCGAGATTTTAATAATATATTGAAGAGAAAAAGGCACAACTGAATGAATCAATAATATCTGTAAGCTTCAGATTGATGATATTAAAAAGAAAATACTTATAATTAAAAAAAATATTATTAGGTTGGCAAACAAAATTTCAGGTCTTCAGATCCCAAAGGCTCTGAGATCGACGTGTTCAAATGAACAGACGGAAGAAGAAGGAAAAACAGACAGCCAAACAAACGGCAGGAAGAGAATTTTAAAGGGCGGTTTGAAGAAGGCACAGAACATATGAAAGGACAGACGGATGGATAGATAGAAAGACGGACCGATGAACAGAAGGAATAAAAATCAAATTTTATTTATTTTTTTTTTTTTTTGTGTTTAAAAAGATATTGTCGTAGAATCCCTTTTGTTTGTAAGCTTGCACTGTTGAGAGTCTCTTACTTTTAACTAAGGCTTCATTTAAGAGTGAGAGTGATTTTTGGCTAAAATTTTGGATAAAAATGAGTTGATAAAAGCTTTCGAAACTAATTTACGAATTTCTATTTATTAAACATCGAAGTTAATGAAACTCAATCGAAATGCAATTAAACACTTAATTATTTCATTAGAGTTTGTCTTAACTTGTTCAATATTTATTTTAGTTTCAATCTTTGAGTGTGCGAATGTGTGAATGTGCGCACATCCTTCCTTCCTTCCCTCCTTCCATTCTTCCAGCCTTGCATCCATGCTTCCTTCCGTCCGGTCGCTCTTTCTGGGATTGTTTTATTGCTGCTTCTTTTCTTCTCTTGTTTGTTTCTGCGGTCAGTTTTGTGTTAGCTTTGCTGCCCGCTCTGTATATAAACTGCTTCTAAATTACTTTGACCAAGTTTTTATTTTGTTGTTGTTGTTGCATTTTTTTATAGCCATCATCGGAGCTGGTTGAGCAAACGCAGCTCTTCCTCTAGCAAGATTTGCACATCCGCTAGCAGAGGACGACGCAGAAGCTAAAACAAAAAGAAGAAAGTGCAAGGAAAATGAAAAACTTTGCCCGGCATTCTGCCTGTCTACGCCTGCAACATGCAACTGTCTGCGTCTATGTCAAGTTTGTGACTGCCTGGACGCCCACTCCATGCAAACTCACTTCGAGATGCTCCAGGGTATGCCCAAACCTACCCGAATACCCCGCTTCACCGCCCGTCCCGGGGGTTGTCCAGTGTCCACTTGCAGCTAAAGTTGATTTATTGTTTGCATTTTTACAACTTTTGTGTCAGTTTCTGTTTGGTTTTTCATTTCGTTTGACTTTGGCATATCTCTCGTTCGCCCCTTACGCATCGTCGCGTCGTCTGCATTTTCTTTGTTTTTTTTTTTTTTTTTTTTTACTATTGCTGCACATATTGAAATTGTCAACTAGGGGCCAGTGGTCGAAGGTCCTTGACTGCAGCTCAAGGCAAGAAAAAAGTATAGCAAAGTTCTATGACTTTCAAAATGGTTAAATGATTTATTTGTAAACTTTCTTGATGTACTTGGAGCAGTTGTTGAGGGAACAGATTGCTGGTAAATGATATGTATAGAGTATGTTGACTACGGTTTTGTAAATTCTTTAAGTAAATAGATAATTCCTTAAGTTTGTTTAATAAATAAGGGAGTGCACTTATTATTGTGTTGAATTAATTTTTTATAATTGTTTTTATATTTGTTTAAATTTGATAAGTTTTAGTTTAATAAATTTATACTTATAAATCGATGATCAATTCTATAAATGTTGTGCCACTAGATAAACACCTAATCGAATATTTAAAAATGATATAACATTTAATAATTTAAAGATAAATCTGAAATTATTATTAGATTAATAATTATTGTTTATAATATTATGTTTTTACTTTTGGATTCAATCTAATAAAATTTTAAAATTGAGCTTTTTTTATAAAAAAAATTTATTAATATAAAATAATATTAAATTTTGTAATTATTATTATTTTTAATATATATATATATATATAGTTTGTCTAATTATTACTAATATTTAAAACTATTTTTTAGCTTAAAAATGAGTCAATAAATTTTCAACTGAAACCTATATACCTATACCTATACCTATATCTATAAAAATATACAGATACATATATATGACTTTCCGCATTCATAAATCGATTAATATTATTGAGATTTTCTTTACATAATGTGTTGGCCTTGAAAGTGCTCTAGTGGCATCTACCAGACAATAAATTTACTTAACTCAAATTCAAATTTATCTGCACATAAAAAACTCAAGAGAATATCTCAATAAACATAATTTCTAGTTGCGATATGATAATTTGATATATGAGCAAAGTGAGAGAACCTTTCTTTCGTTCTCTCATTCTATCACTCTCTTTCTCTCTGCCTCTGTTTCTTGCTCATATGCTAAATGAGAACTGTATAAATTTTTGTCAGTCCATTTACGCATAGGAAAGATATCCAGTCGAAATAACATATTTCAGTTGCCCTCTTGACTTTTTGCCAAAGCTAATTTTAGAGTCGACAAGTCACAGTGCGTCGACTTATCATCAGTCAAAACTGACAGAATTTGGCAGTGAAAAGTGGGCGAGTTTTATTGAGGCTTTATTTACCTTAAAGTCGCGTGGGTAAAATTTATACAAATATTTTCGTTTCGCCTTGTAACGTGCTCGAAATGTTGAACAAAAATCATGAGTAAAATGCTGGCATGCTAATAGAAAAGATAAAAAAACGATGCGTAGGTCGGGAAAGTATACGAATTAATTATTTAAAAGCGTCACAAAAAATGAGCGTTCAACGTGGCGTATGAAAATTGAAATAACAAAAAATGTTGCCTACTTTGAAGCGCTCTATAAATTCGTTGGGAGATTGGGAGAGAAAAATAGGCAGTATGAATAGAGAATACAGATAGTGTTAGAAGTGAAATGAAAGAGAGAGACTGAGACACAGTGGGAGAAAGAGGAAGAAAGACAGAAAGAGGGAGAGAAAGACAGAAGGAGACAGATATGAAAAGGGGAAGAGAGAGACTGCTAAAATATGGGAAGAAAAATAACCTAACGCATTTTTAACACTTACAATTTTAAGTTTTTGTTACAAAATATTTTATTTTGAGTATTATAAATATTTAAATTATTTACTCAAAAATTGTCTAATCAAAATTGTCTGGTTACAAATATCTATGTTGGGTCTATTTAGAATATTATTATACATCAAGTGTGAGAGTTGGTCTATTGCATATGATATATATGTGAAGCTCAAGTCTAGATTATATACACCAATTTATAAATACTATATTTAGTCCATGCC